GCCTTCTTCTTACACACACCCCGGGGCACCTAGACAACTCCTTGTGGGTGCCCCAGTTTGGACTCGTAATTACGGGCCTGGTCATTCATGGGTCCCCGCTGCTATATCCAGGGTCACAGGTCCTCTGTCTTACGAGGTGTCCCTGGACAACGGTCGTGTCCTGCGTCGACACATCGACCAACTTCGCCCTAGACGGAACCTTCCCGCTGAGACTCCTGGGTCTTCTCCAGGGGGGGAGGGGGATCCCTTTGGGCAAAGGGAAGGGCATGGGCTGCTGTCCATTATCAATGAGGAAGCCACAAACGGCTCATCTCAAGATTCCGCGAGTGCTCCAAACAGGAATTCAAGGAGCCCAACTAGATACCAGGCATCAACGCCTACTCCAGCCAGGGAGTCACCCCGGGGGCATAATCACTACGCACCAGCATCACACAGTACTCCAGTCAAGGAGGATACCCGGGAGCATCCCAATAAACCATTCCCCGCAAGAGAGCTGGCACACATTCCTTCTAGTTGGCCCGACACTACCCCTGTCCCTAGAAGGGGGCAAACACACAGGGAGGTGGTCGTGGAACCAAATCCCGACTACAACACCTCTGACTTCACTCAGGGGACAACTGAGTTTTGGGACAGTACTGAAAACCCCACAAGCCTGGGGACAGAACGGAACCAGGGGACAGACAACCTCCTGACAGGTCTTGGACGGACCTTGGAGGTTCTACAGAATCGCCCAACAGTGACAGTCACTTAGGGGGGCCAGAGAGCCTGCAGCAAGGCAGGACAACCAGGCCAAGCAAAGAAAGAAGCCCTGGCCTGACGAGCCCGGTGGGCAAGCAAGCAGGCCAGGCATTGGAGCACAGTCCTTGGGAACCTCCAAGGTGTAATAGGGGGGACAGATACGCATCACCCCTCAGTCAAGGGGTACTTGGCAGGTACCCAGAAGTTAGGAGATCACAGAGAGCCAGGAAATCTCCTAAGTATTTAGAAGATTTTGTAACTCTATTGGCAAAACAGAGTTAACAGAGGGAACAGAACACTTAGACTAATGGAAGCAAAAGTAATACCTGGCATTGGGTAGTCTGGCACTACACTCGTAATGGGTTATGTGTTACTATGGCATGGTTAACAGTTTTAACCCAGGGGGAAGCGGTGTTATGTCCTGAGCATGTGCAAGCAGGCTCGGGGCATTGCAAACGGTTCCAGGCAGGTGCAAGTTGCCCGGGACCAGACAGGCTGTCGCCAGTACTTGTGCGCATGCGCAAGTGCTGGCGCGCCAAAAGTTGCAGATTGATCCGGGAATGGCCTATATAAGAGGCCAAGAGTTTTGGGCGTTGTCGGCGTCTTGTACTTTGTATGCTGAACTGAATAAAAAAGTTTTCTGAGAACTACAACTGCTTCTCGTGTCTTGCCATTTCGGGAAGGACGCAACAGCGGCCATTTTAACTTTAGTAAGTGATTGGCTCAATTTAACAAACAAAAATATTTTGGTTCTTGAAGGCTGGGATTTATTATTTGGTTGGCACGCATGTTTAGTTTTTGATAAGAAAGTAGATTGGGTGTTTAAGTCACATATTTTAAGAAATGCCATACTCCATGTCTGGAGGAAGTATTATTATAAATTGAATTATAAAATACCCATTTGGGGGATTCCTGGACAGGCAATTCAAGGGGTTTCTAAAGAGGTAAATTTTGACAATATTTCCTATAAAGAGTTGCTCATTTGGTCAGGTACAGATTGGCAATTAAAGTCTTTTGATTTGTTAAGGCAAGAAAATATTTTATAATCATGGTTTCAATATTTACAAATAATGGAGAGATGGAGGGTAGATAAGAAGGTGGGAATTACTTTAACAGATGAAAACTTGATAATTCAGATTAAAGATCAGAAATTTGCTCATATCAAAAGAATTTATAATGAGTTGATAAAATTAGATTCAGAAACAGAGTTAGTAAAAGACTGTATGATCAAATGGGCCCAGAATATATAGGAACAAATCTTAATGGATTCTTGGGAGATAATCTGGGTTAGAAATGTTAAATTTACTCAAGCACAAAATTTGAGGGAAAATTTTTATAAAATGTTTTATAGATGGCATTTGGATCCTAAAAAGTTATCTTGTATGTATCCGAATTTGCAACCCAAATGTTGGAGATCTGGTTTCTTGGATGCAACTTATTTTCATGTTTGGTGGACTTGCAAAAATATTAAAGCTTTTTGGATTATGATTTGGTGGAACATTCAAAAGGTTTTTAAAAGGAAAATTAAATTTACTCCCCAATTATTTCTTTTGGGTATTTTTGTGGATTTTGATGTTAAAGAAACTATTTTAATGCTGAATTTAATAACAGCAGCAAGACTATTGGTGGGTCAGTATTGGAAAAAAGATTCTCTGCCTTCTTTGGAAGAATGGGTATTCAAGGTTTCTAATTTAGCAGAAATGGCTAAAATTTCTGCTTAATTAAAGGACCATTCACAAAAGAGATATGTTTCTGTATGGAGAAGATGGATAGAATATATTCAGAAAAAGTATGGAACAACAAAGTTTCATTTATTTTATGAATAATGGATTTTTATTAAATTATGAATTCAAGTTCGCAGAGAGTTAAGGGTTATTAGGATTCCGGTTATTGTATGTAGTAAATTTAAGTTGACTATGTTTAGTTTTCTTTTTTTTCTTTTCTTTTTCTTTTTTTTGTAACCCTGTATTGAGCTCTGGGAAGTGGGGGGGGAGGGGGGGAGGGGATAGTATGGGTAGTATGTTCAATAGTTCAGATTTTGGTGATAGAGGATTGCTCGGGCATTTTCCCTCAGACCGCATCCGATTGAGAAGAAGAGCAGAGGGATAAGTAAGTAGAAAGATGGAGGAGAGAGAGAGGGGAGGAGAGGAGGAGGTAGAAGGAAGGGGGAAGTGAAGAGATGAGAGGGGGATGCGGTCTGGGGGGAAATGGCTGAGCAATGTCGGAATTTGTGTGTTGTATTTTAACTTCTTATGTATCTGAATTTTTTTTCTTATGATTGTAATGAAAATAAAATAATAAAAATTAAAAAGAGACTAAAAAAAAATAATAATACTTCTTCCAGACACACAATAAAGCACTTCTTAAAATATGGGATTTAAAAACCTGATGCACTTTTTTATCATAAATTAAATATGCATGCCATCCATATAATAAATCCCATCCCTCAAGAGAAAGTATATTTTTATTCGTTAAATTAAGCCAATCACTAATCAATGTTAAAGCCACCGCATCATAATATAATTTCAGATTAGGCGCCTTAAGTCCGCCTCTTTCCCGTACATCTTGTATAATCTTGAACTTAACTCTTGGTTTTTTTACCCGACCAAATAAATTTATTAATACCCTTCTGCCATTCATCCAAATTGGCATCTTTTTTCAAAATATGTATCATTTGAAACAAAAAAAGAAACTTTGGAAGAACATTCATTTTAACCGCTGAGATTCTCTCCAGCAAAGATAATTGTAGTTTTTTCCAATCATTTAAATCCTTTTGCACTTTTACCCATAATGTCTCATAATTATTTTTATACAATTTAACATTAGAAGCTGTAATATATACTCCCAGATATTTAACCTTTTTCATTATTTCAAAACCTGTCAATTTAGCTAACATATCCTTTTCCTTCATAGACATATTTTTTCGGTAATATTTTAGTCTTGTTATTATTTACCTTAAAACCAGAAACTTGGAGGGGGCACCTGGACTTGAACCAGGGACCTCTTGATAATGCATTGCTTTTGAATATGCAGTAGGTTGCCATTTTTACTTTCTTTATGTTCCTCCTTCCAGGTATGTAACCCTGGAAGGTTACAACTGCTTACCTATCACACCAGAGTCCAGGATGTGAGAACAAGGAAATCCTGTAATGGTTCAGCAGAAACAACCCAGCTTCATTGTGGTGACCTGCAAACTTCAGATCTATTGGCTGCATATGCCTGTACACTGCATAGGTGATCTCTCCTAACCTGCCAGGCTATGTAACCTGAAATTTGGCTACCCCTGAAGATGGTTGGGGCCCTTTGTTGCATATGCTTATCTTTATTTTGAGGTTGCTAGCCAGATTCATCATTTTGTTCTTTACCTATTTTATTTTTATTCTGACATGTTTGAGTTGTGAGTCACCCAGATGGTGACTCACAACTATTTATTTCCATCCATTTCGTCTGGATGGAAATAAATAAATAGCCTCTGGTTGATTGGTGTGTGGTGGGCAGACAGTCAATATCAAATTCAGATTCCCTTAGGAGCCTCATCAGGTGGTAACCCTTAGCCATCCGGGTCTGGACTCACAAGCTAAATTTGGTTGGATGGAGATGTCCAAAGAGGACCAATGAAGACAAATCCTTTTCATAAAGTTATGAGAAAACTGCATGTCCATGTAATAACAAAGAGTCAAGCAGGAGTGTCCAACCTTGGCAACTTTAAGACCTGTGGACTGCAACTCCCAGAAGTCCCCAGCCAGCACTGACTGGGGAATTCTGGGAGTTGAAGTCCACAGGTCTTCAAGTTGCCAAGGTTGGATATCCCCAGTTTAAACAGTCATTTAACTAGGGGATCACATATTGTACTATGCCATTAAATGATGTGCTTGGTCTTGGCATAGAGCAAGGCTGGCTGGGGGATTCTGGGAGTTGAAATCCATACATTCTTAAAGTTGCCAAGGTTGTGAAGTAGTGGCATACAATAGAGGAATGTGTAAACCCAATCAATGGTGGTTCATTCAGAAACGGTCAAATCATGGTCTATCGTGATGTTAACTAGTCCTTGTAAGGTGGAAAATCATAACTGGGCAGGTAAAAGAGTAACCTCTTTCTCTCAAAAGCACAAGGCGATAACGCCCTTCACCGCAGGGACCCATGACTATTTTGAATTTGCTCGCCACTCCTGGTGTCCCCATCTTGTGACCAGCTGGTAGCACTAGGACCCAGGAGCCGCTCTTGAATGTAGGAATTGTGCTCTCTGCCAGGTCCCTCGGCTGGGTCCGAAAGCCTCCCGGATGCCCAGCTAAAACCAGCCAACCTCTTTTGTTCTGCAGCGGCCGGGCTGAGAGGCTTCCCAGCAGACGCTCATCTCTTCCCCACCCGCTGCCGGCCCAGTGAAATCCTCCACTGCCGCAGATCACAATGCAAAACAGGTATTAGCTGCTCCTCAGGTTCTCTGGCTAGGGTGGGTAGTGCCTTTCCTTTCAGCCAGCATAGCCCAAAGCAGACTTGTGGGGTGGGGGATGCTTAAAGCTTTGGCCGCTTATCCGCAGGCTGGGGCACAAGGAGAAAGGGAAGGGTGATCTTGGATCTTGATGATCCATTTGTGATGGATGAGAAACGGTCTCAAGGCTATGAATCCTTTGCTTTTGGCGACACTGTTGGAGGAATAAGGGATAGCGGAAAACAGATTTCTCTTTAAAAAGTAAAATACAATTTTAATAGGACATTTCCCCCCTTTTATGGGATGCCACAGATTGAGACTGCTTGGAAACCTTCTGTGTGCTTTTTCAACCTGCCAGTCTTGTCACTGAGTCGCAGGTGCTTCAGGGCTGGCTTGTGCTATTCCAGCTGGTAAAGAAGGGCACTCTGCACATGCCCAGAGGTGCTGTCTCCTCTTTAATGGAAAAAAAAATCAAATGACCCATGCTCAAGACAACACTCGGGGTCCTTCCACAATTTCTTAGGGAAGTTTTAAAAAATGTATTGGTTCAATTGTGACAAGGGCCCAATTTATTTATTTATTTATTTATTTATTTATGAGACTTATATACCGCTTTAAGTGCAAGCACTCTCTAAGCAGTGTACACCAGTAAGCAATGTATATATATATTTACATTGCCCCCAACAATCTGGGTCCTCATTTCAGATTAAGCATTGAAAATGGGCATTTTGCTACAGCTTGATCACATGATTTCAGCTGAAAGTAATGCATGCATGCCTCACTTTTTCCAGGGTAGGAAAAGTATAGATTGGCAGATTATGAACAAAAATGTATTTGATATGCAAAGTGGAAGAAGGTTTCTTGTCCAAAATCACATGGACTGCAACATGTGTAACCTGTGTTCTCTATTTTCATTCTCTCATTATCTTTGCCCTCTCGCATTAGTATTTCTAATAATGGATGCTGAGGGATTTTAGTATGCGCCTGTTTAAAAAAGTGCAAAGGAATGGATTTCACCTAGAATTAAGAGAGGGGTTTTTTTTCATTCTTATAAAGTGACAGAAATGTTCAAAACTGAGTGTTCAGTCTGATACTGGTAACATTTAAAATTGAGTGCAGCTCAGAATTCTAGGCTGTATTTTAGTATTAGAATTTGAAGTTATTAATAGATATTTGGAGACTGTATAAAAATGTATATCCTGTCTTTCTTTTAAAAGCTCAAGTTAGTGCAAAGGGGTGTGTTCTCCTATTTTACTTTCACAATAACATTGTGAGGTAGGCTGGATTGAAAGATAGGTTATTGGCCCAAAGTCTCCTAAACTTTAATCTAGCATTTATTACATTACTAAACACGTACTGTGCTGATATTCTAGCTGGGAGCAGCAAGGGTAGCTGTTTGAAATTAGACTCCAAAGCAAAAGGAACTTCAAACTTGACCCTTTGATTTAGCCTCTGATTAGAGCAGGGGTCTTCAAACTGGCGGTTTTATGACTTATGGCCTTCAATTCCCAGAATTCCTCAGCCAGGCTGAGGAATTCTGGGAGTTGAAGTCCACAAGTCATAAAACCGCCAAGTTTGAAGACCCCTGGATTAAAGCTTTGAGAGACATCTGCTATGTACAAGGCATATAAAGGACTAGATCTAAATAATACGAAGACCAGATATGCCAGACAATCCTTGCAAATGACAAACTTTGCTATTTGGGAAGAGTTGGTACCCTCCAAATAATTCTGACAATTACAGTTTTCAAGAATTAGGATGCAAATTTAATGGCTACATCACTATTGTATCTGTGAACTACTACATTCTACTTGCAAAAGTGCGGTACATTTTGTAGAATATAATGTGTGCAGAAGCTTTGCATTGTAAAGAGAAGAAAGTAAGCTAGAGTTATATATTTTCCAAATGGCTTCTGTTCTTGCCTCTGGATGATGGACCTGATACTCCTTACATTTTACTTGAAGTAGCTCCCTGCTCGACTTCCTTACAATGGTTAATGTAATTTAGAATCCTCACTTTACCCGTAAGCACACTTCAAAAGGGGAGAAAAATCAACCATTCTCTTGTACCAAACTGATTATGAAAATGGTAGGATAATTCAAAATTACGGTACAAATGTTATGGCCCCAGCTTTTGGTGAATACAAGAAAAAGTATTGCACTTTTCTTAGTAAATATTTTTCTGAAGTGGTTTGCCAGTTTTTTTTTTCTGAAGTTGAGAGACAGAGACTGACCCAAAGTCACCAGCTGGCTTTCATGTCTGAAGTAGGACTAGAATCACAGTCTCTCAGATTCTAATCTAGTTCCTTTAACCATTACTGTTCTCCAGATTGGTTTGTACTGTATTGTAAACAAAATCTTTCTTGTGGGTATAATAACAAATCACAGATGTTCACTCAAATACCTTGCATTCTCACGGCTGCAGGTGCTTAGAATTCTACTTATAAGTGTAAGGCAAATATTCACCAAGAGATATTTGTATTCTCAAGAAAATATCTGAACATATAATACCAGGCAGTTGTATCCATGCTTGTTGTGTGCATTGCCATGCTAACAATTTTCTAGACATTTTGAAAGAACTCTACATATAAATAATAAAAGATTTACTTTAACTAATTTTGGAGCTTCATAAAAAAACTCCATACTTCTTAAAAAGGCTGAAAAATGTATTAATAGTTTGCAAGGCATGATCTGGCATAGTCTTTTTTTATTTAAAATTTTTATTTTTTCCATTTAAACATTATAAAAATACAATACAATTTTAAAATAAGATAAATTCATAACCATTGGTGCGACCCGCCCATTCCCCCAGGCTGCGTCCACCCTTTCTTAAAACATTCCCTACTTCCCTCCTCTTTCTCTCCTCCCCTCCTACTCTTTTCCCCTCCCCCTCTCCTCTCAATACCCTACTTCCTCTCTACACCTTCTCTCCTCTCATCCCTATCAAACCCATGAACGCAGCATAAGGGGAGTGCCAGGCCGCACCCCTATAAACAACCATTATCTATACTACACTTACCCCCCCCTTACCCTCCCTCCCACCCCCAACCCCCCTCCCTTCACTTCCCAGAGCAGAATACAGGGTTAATAATAACAAAATTTAATAATAAAAAAAGAAAAAAAAAGAAAAAAGAAAAGAAAAAAGAAAATATCATAATTAACCTTTAACTCCATAACCTATAAGACAATTCTCTATAATATTTGTTATAATATTCATTCATAAAATAAATGAAACTTTTTAATTCCATACTTTTTCTGAATATAATCTATCCATCTTCTCCATACAATGATGTATCTTTCTTGTGTATGATCCTTTAAATAAGCAGAAATTTTTGCCATTTCTGCAAAACTAGATACTTTAAGTGTCCATTCTTCTAAAATAGGCAAAGAATCTTTCTTCCAGTATAAACCTACTAATAACCTTGCTGCAGTTACTAAATTCAACATCAAGATAGTTTCTTTTTCATTTAAATCAACGAAGATACCCAGTAAAAATAGTTGAGGAGTAAACTTTATTTTCCTTCTAAAAATCTTTTGAATGTTCCATCAAATCATAATCCAAAAAGCCTTTACTATCTGGCATAGTCTTGAGCAGGTTTTACATGAAAGTAAGTTCCGCCGAGTCTTAGTTAAATTTGGCGTTACTGGGCTTTTAGTTGCTTTGTTTTTTTATCACTTTAATTCTGGAATGTGTTCTCATGACAGTATGTTAAACTGATTGTGTGCATTTGATGGTGGGTGTATTTCCTCACAGTTCTTACTATTCTCCTATTTCTGCAGTGATGTTCCTGTAGCTGATTGCCCTCTTGTTCCTGGTGCCCAATGGAGCCATCTCACAGGTGGCAAGTCTGCAAGGGTGATGGGCATCCAGCAGAGCTGCAGGCAGAAGCTCAGGTATTGGTGCCAGCAGAGAATAGTTGGCCGAGACTGGAAAACCATGGTGGCAACACGCTTGAGAACCAGGTGATAGAAAGTTACCCCCCAGTGCCTTGGAACCACTATACGCAGGCCCCACTCAGCAGTGATGTCACGCAGCACCAACTGGCTACAGAAGACAGGCCACCCCACCCTGAGATCTACAGCATTGCTCTGTGGGGTCCCAAGCTGCATTCTGCACTGACTAGACACAGAGGAGGAAGGTCAAATACGCAAGCCTCTGCTCCAAACTCTAAGCACCTAGGTCCAGCAGGAGAGGGCAATACCACTGACGAGGGATCCCTGGTGCTGATTGATGCAGAAGGGGTGCCCCACACTGTGTCACAAGAGGAAGTGGAACTGGCTGGACAAATGCAGTCTTCGGAACCCGAGTTGCTGGCTTCTGCTCCACCACCACGACAGCTGTATTTCTGCCCCATTTGCCTGCGGACGTTCCTCTACCAGTCTGACCTGGAGCGTCACAGCATCACCCACTCCGAGAGCAAGCCGTACGTATGCCACGAGTGTGGCAAGGCCTTCAAGCGTTCCTCACACCTTCAGCGGCACAAGCACATCCACACTGGTGAGCGGCCCTTCAACTGTCCCGTCTGTCGCAAAGGTTTCCGGGAATCTGGTGAACTGTTGCGTCACCAGCGGGTCCATACTGGGGAGAAGCCCTATCAATGCCAGATCTGTCGACTGCGCTTTACAGAACGCAACACCCTCCGCCGGCATGCTAAGCGCAAACATGCCCGTGAGACCTACTATCAACGCTCTGTGGAGGAAGGAGGGGGCAGTTGGACTACGGTGGGGGACTGGGAATCCGAAGTGATGGTGGGAAGCGGGGACTGGGCCACAGAGGAACTTGGGAGTGGCTGGAGCAGTGAACCAGTAGAAGACTGGGTTGGGAGTGGGAATCACTGGAGGGAAGCTTCAGAAAGGGAGGTAGGAAGCCTGCCTGGAACCGTGACACAAATGTTACAGATGGAGCACATCAAAGATAAAGACAAACCTGAGATTCAACCCCCATAAACATGCAGAAGTGGGGAAGACAGACCAGGACAGTGAAGAATCTGCAAATATGTTTATCCTACAGTTATCTGTTGGGACTTTAAAGTTGCATTGAAACATTTCTCTGAAAGAAAGGGCATGAAACTAAAGGATCTTCTAGAACTGTTCTATATTGTTAAAGCCCTTCAAATGACACCATATGGGCATCACCAAAGACTAGAGAAGACTGCCCCGTTCAACAATTGTACCACAATATTCAGAGCTGCTATGAAGAGAGGGGAACATTTCATGTTTTTAATTCTTTCGCAGGCGGAAATGAGACTGAGAATACTGTTTTCTTAAGTTTCCTATGCTTTCCTGACGAATTGGTACAGTTGTGTTCCTCTCAACAATTGTACAAAACAAAATATTGATATATGATGATCCTCTGTAAAATGAATTACCCTCCCTACACACCTGAGCTGCTATTTGTTTTGTTTTCCTTTAAACTCCATATCCCTGCAACGGGGCATATTCTGTTTGCAAACAATTTAATGAATTAACATATGCAAAACAGTGCTGACCTTTTTTCTTTCTTCTTATTCCACTTTAATCAAGGTGAGGGATTTAGATTTCTCTTTCCATTCTCTATAGCCCATAGCTATAGCTTGGGCCTAGAACAGCTTTCCTAATCTCGTGTCCTCTGAAATTATCCACTCTAATTTCCATACTTCTTCCGGCGATGTTAGCAGCCAAAATCTCTGGAGGGCTCTTGGTTTAGGAAGGTTGAACTAGAGCAGGAAAAGACAAACCTGGATACATGTGAGGCTATACAACTTTTCTTTTTCCTTTTGCTTAATAAGGGATGGGGGGGGAAACCAAATCTTCATGGATAGGCTAAGAGTCAGCTTGCATATATGCTTTTGAAAAACTGAGGAATTAAAAGGAAATACGGGATAAATAAGAAGCCTGTTCTCTGCAACTGGATCTTTACACAAACTTTGAATTCAGTGAAATCAATCAGAATCACTTTTAAATAACTGTTTTCACCTGATCCAGGATGATATTGAGGCAAAGAAGAGTGAAGGCAGTTATGTTAGCACTTCAATGGAAGCATAAATGTACATTGTCATTTCTCAGCCTAAAGAAATCTGAAAGATTATTTTTAAGGAAAGTGTTGCCAATGGTATTATGAATTCCTAGCCTAGCCTTTTCACAAAATTATATTTCCAAGGTTTATTTGAAGGGAAACAGGAAGCTATTTGTAATTCAAAGCTGTCACAAGCAGAGAGATTCTCTAAATTTTAATTGCAAATATTATTTACATTTTATGTAAAGGGACAGATAGGGGTATTATTTGTTGAATAATATTTGCAGTCAAAAATTTAAGAATCTCACAGCTTGTGACAGCTTTGCATTATTCCTCCCTACTTCCCTTCAAAGAACCCTAGAAATCTTATCTATAATGTTTAGTTTTAAAGTCAAGCAGATCAAAAAGAAGCCGGGGGCTTACATGTACATTCTTTGGTATGTAAGAACTGAAAAATAAGGGTTGTCTGGCTATTTCAGATAATTGCGGTCACTGGTCCAATCAAGATGTATCAGTAAAGAAATAAAAATGGCAAGGGAAGTGTTTTGACCAAATTTACGCTTCATAATGTCGTTTCCATGAGACTACTGTATGTGCATGCTGCTCATGACAAAAGATCAGCATTGTATCTCTTAAGTATAGTATCTCAGTCTTTCTGAGAGAGAGTTGGACTCTTCTATTAAAAGCATTAGGCTTTTGATACAAGCAAGAGGCAATTTCTGCAAAATAGAAGCATAAGAACACACTGAATCACGAAACCTGTACTTAATGTATATGTATTTGGTAATGCATATGCCCTGCAATATTTTTTAAAGAATAGGTTCTTCTCCTTCTGAGGCTTGCATTTCATAGATTCTCAAACCCAACCATGCACAATGCTGTACAGCAAACATTCAATGTCCTATATGCAAGGTCATGTAGATATTGTCTGTATTATTTCATTAGAAATGGCTGTCATTTTCTGCTACTATTCTTTGTTGGCAATCCTATTTAGTCTGAATTTCTATTTTATCCATGTATGTGTGTTGTTCATGCCAATGCTTTTTCCTTTTTAATACATTTTTATTTGTTCTTAATAAGTTTTTGTACCTAAATTAAATAATAATAAGTTTTTATACTAAGCAGTAATATGTGCAGGAAGAATTTGAGTTGAACTTGTGTGGTATTTTTTCAACATTACAAGCCATTTCATTGCAGTGGCTCTGGTGATTTCATTTCCACAGCACTGCAAAAGCATTTCAGATTATGGTTTGCTGAAAACAGAGTGACAGCCTAAATCACAATGTGAGCCACAAATGCTTCATAACCCAGAATGGCTGTCAGAAAGATTTAGGTTACGTTCAAATGCTTGCCTGAAATGGATCTAGAGTGATGATAAAGGAGGAGTTATAGGAGTTGGAGGTGGGGTAGCTACTTCTAGCATCAAACAAATGTGCCTGAATCTCTTATTTTGCCAAACAGAAGGCTTTATGAAGTAGTTTGGCATATGCAATTTATATAAAGGAATGCATGAATCCTTTATTATTATAAATAATAATAATACAGAATAGGAAGCAGGGGAATTCTGTACAAACAAGTTTCTCGAAAACAAGTATGTGTGTATCTGCCATCATGTTAAGAGTACCTATTCACAAAAAGGTTCTCTCATCTTTCCATTTTGTTAGGAGGGCTCAAACCATGTCCTTGGGTATAAAAAGTCAAGATTTTAACAGTACCGATTATGTCAGTGTAATGTTATTAAGGCCATTTCTATTCTCCTTTGCATAGGCTATGGCACGGAAGAGAAAAGTGTATGCAAATTCCCTCTGTGAAAAATTATACCACTTTCCATTCTACCAAAAGTTGTTGTCTTTGGCACAAGTAGCTTAGTCTGCAACCAGTAAATAAGGCAAATGAACTTTCGCACTTTCCAGCAGTGAGCATATAAAAGCTCAATTCCTTGATTTTGCGGGGGTGGGGGGGGTGGGGTGGGGTGGGGGTGTTACACCACCAGAGATGAAAATAGTCAAATTCTGAAGCCTGAATAGCCCACAACACTCAAAACTACATTGAGGGCATATTGTCTACCTTGCTACATTTCCATCCAACATCCGTGCTGCTTTTTCCATCAAATAAGCTGCAACTCTGCTACACACTGGCACACGCACATACCCAGCAAACTGCATCCGAGTAGGAGGAAGGGAGTCTAGCTTTGCCTTGAACTATCTCCAGGGCTCTCTTGTTACCCAGGCCTCCAAGTTATCTTTGTTGCCATGGAGACCACCTTGAGCACAGAGTCGATGTGTTCCAAGCAGAATCTTTGTTAAGAAGGGCCTCAAGGCCTTGGGTGTTGTGAAGGCTGCAGGATTTTAAAAAAAGAAATACTATCTCATTCCTAGGTTTTTTTTTTTTCCTCTCTCTTAGCTGCAGCAATATGTTCAGCTGAAAAGCAGAAAAACAAAGTAATGGATGCAGGATTCTGCCCTCATCTTAGTGCAACACATTGGTTTCATTCACACCAGCTGTTTCTCACAAAAAGTGGCCCAAGACATCTGTTCAGCAACTGGTCCAATCCACACTCAGTCCTTAAGGATAATTCTCCATTTAAGCGCTTTTTGAATTTTGATGTAAGATAATCAATGTATCCTTTTTTTTAAAAAAAAAGAAAGAAAAAGCTTCCTTTCATGGCTTCCTGTGCTGCAACAACTTATACCAGAAGAGACCTACTTACATAAAAAAAGAGACTAAGCTTTAAAGATGATTAAGGGCCTGGAGACTAAAACATATGAAGAACTCTTGTAGGAATTGGGTATGTCTAGTCTAGTGAAAAGAAGAACTATGGATGACATGATAGCAGCCCCTCCAATATTTGAGGGGCTGACACAAAGAAGAGGGGGTCAACCTATTTTCCAAAGGACCAGAAAGCAAGAAAAGAAGTAATGAATGGAAACTAATCAAGGAGAGAATCAAGCTAGAACTAAGGAGAAACTTCCTGACAATTAGAACAATTAAACAGTGGAACAGCTTGCCTTCAGAAGTTGTAGGTGCTCTATCATTGTTGCAGGGGATTGGACTAGAAGACCTACAAGCAATATGATAGCCAAAGTGATCTGGCCTGGCAGAAGCTCCCTACATCCGTTACCTACTCCTGCACTACACGTTGTCTAAAGCAGTGTTTCTCAATCTTGACAATTTTAAGGCATGTGGACTTCACCTCCCAGAATTCCACAGCCAGCAATGCTGGCTGTGGAATTCTGGGAGTTGAAGTCCACATGCCTTAAAATTGTCAAGGTTGAGAAACACTGGTCTAAAGCATCAAGCTAAAAAGTAAGGGGCATTGAGTTCAGGTCCTGCCTTAGCCATGAAATCCAGCTGGCTGACCTTGGGCCAGTCACCTTCTTTGGTTATTCGGGTTTTCTCCCGCGTCAAATTGGAATAAGACACTCTGCCATGGCTAGGGTAGGTTCAGTGTTCTTCTCAGCTATTTTGAAGCGAATTTGAACAACTTTCGCTTTAACCACTAGAGGTCACTTGCTGCAGGTCAGCTACCAGGATGCTCTTCGTTCGAGGTTCATCCTTTGTTCCTCTATATACATACATACATACATATATACATACACACACACACACACACACACACACACACACACACACACACAGAGTGGGGCAAAAAAGTATTTAGTCAGCCACCAATTGTGCAAGTTCTCGCACTTAAAAAGATGAGAGAGGCCTTAATTGTCATGATAGGTAGACCTCAACTATGAGAGACAAAATGAGAAAACAAATCCAGACAATCACATTGTCTAATTTGGAAAGAATTTATTTGCAAATTATGGTGGAAAGGGGGCGTTGTCTTACCTGAACGCCTTTTCTCAGCATGAAGATGTAGCATCCACCGATTGGGTAATCAAAGCCCTCCTGCTCAGATTTAGACTAAGACCAAACTTTAGCCACGCCTCCCTTGGGCGCTCCTTTCCCAGTTTTGTTGAGGCGAAGTGTTCATTAGGTCCGACACAGTAGCTCCTCCTGAAAAAAATCTGCCTAGACTAAGTGTTAAGGGTGGGTGTGGATGCTACATCTTCATGCTGAGAAAAGGCGTTCAGGTAAGACAACGCCCCTTCTCCAGCATGATAGATGTAGCATCCACCGATTGGGACATATCAAAGCCACCCGTGTCCCTGTCAGGAGGGAAGTCTAGGCTTGTGGCTCATGCGTAGAGACTACCTGCTGCAGAACCCTTCTGCCGAAGGATGCGTCTGAGGCAGCGAATTTATCAAGCTTGTAATGCCTTATAAATGAAGAGGGGGAAGCCCAGGTGGCTGCCCTGCAAATTTCCTCAATCGAGGCCTGAGTGGACCAGGCCGCAGATGTAGCAGCACTACGTGTAAAATGAGCAGTGATGCAAGGAGGAACAGGAAGAGACTGAGTCCTGTAAGCGTGAGAGATGCAGGCCCTAATCCATCTACCAATGGTTGAGGATGATACTTTCAGACCCATGGAAGAAGATTGGAAAGACACAAACAAGGCCTCCAATCTACGAAATGCAGCGGTTCGCTTCACATAGTGATGCAAAGCCCTGCGTACGTCTAATGTATGCCACAATCTTTCAAGACGGTGAGAAGGTCGCAGACAAAAGTCCGGAAGAATCAGATCTTGATACCTGTGGAAGCTAGTATTGACTTTCGGAATGAAAGAAGGGTCCAATTTTAGGATCACTCTGTCATCCAGAAAAACACAAAGATCCTCCCTGATCGAGAGTGCAGCAAGTACCGAGATGCGTCTTGCCGAGGTGATGGCTATCAAAAAGGCTACTTTCAATGAAAGGAAGTGTAGTGAACAAGATCTGATGGGTTCAAATGGTGAACTGATAAGAATCTGAAGAACCCTTGGCAGGTCCCATGTGGGATATCTGTGTACTACAGGGGGACCTGTCTTAACGGCTCCCTTAAGGAAGACTGTAACAACTGGATGATGAGATAGCTGTACCTGATCCTCGCAAATGAGGACCGTGGATAATGCTGCGATCTGCCTATGGATGGTATTGTGAGACAGTCCCCTGTTTAGTCCGTCTAAAAGGTAGTCCAATAATATCGGAATGGTGCTAGCCAGTGGGTTGACCCTCCTGGTGTTACACCATGCACAGAAACTTTTCCACGTGGCATCGTAGATCCTGTTAGTGGAGGGACGTCTGGAGGCTTGAATTATAGCAATCACTCCAGTCGAATAGGACTGTCTAGTTAAGCTCTCCCTTTCAAGTGCCAAGCGGCTAGTTGAAGCCACTGCGGGTCCAGATGTTGGAGCTGACCCTGACTGAGGGAGATGCGATCTGCTGAAATCTTCCAAGGTGGGGAGATCGATAGATCCACGAGATCTGCAAACCAAGGACGCCTTGGCGACCAGCAAGATTAATTCTGCCCCCTCTAATAGGAGTCTCCTGATGACAGCTGGAATCAGGGGAAGTGGAGGGAAGGCATACAGAAGTCCCTTGGGCCATCTGCTGCGTAGCGCATCCGTTCCCTCCGCCCCCCATGATGGAAACCGCGTGAAATACCTGGGAAGCTGAGCATTTGTTGGGGAAGCAAACAGGTCTACCCGAGGCTGCCCGAACCTCTCCGATATTTCCCTGAAGAGGTTCGGTTCCAATTGCCACTCCGAGTGGTCTATCGTCGCCCTGCTTAGAGAATCTGCCTGACAATTCTCCTCCCCGGAAATGTGTTCTGCTCTGATGGATTTCAGATGGGATTCTGCCCACAGACCCAATGCTAGGGCCTCCTGCATGAGGGACCAAGATTTGGTCCCTCCCTGTCTGTTGATATGAGCCTTGGCTGCGACATTGTCCATCATTACCAGGACATGATTCCCCTTCACTATGTTGGAGAACTGGCAAAGAGCCAGGTGTATTGCCCTTAGTTCTAGCCAATTTATATTGTGCGTGAGGTCGTGCTTGGACCATTGACCCTGAGCCATATGTGCGCTCCCCAACCGAACAGACTGGCGTCCGTGGTCAGGATAAGTCTGTGAGGCTCCTTGAAGAATGTCCCCTTGTGTATGGCGGGTGACCCTCACTATCTGAGTGACTGTAGAGTGTGGTACGGAACTCTCACCTTCCGTGTGGAGGCACTCATGTTCCGCTTCTGGAAGGGAAGCAGGAACCATTGTAGATGTCTGGAATGCAGACTGGCCCACAGCACTATTCCTAGGCAAGAAATCATCTTCCCCAACAGCTGTGACAACTGGACAAGGGGAACTACCTTCTCTCTCTGGATCTTGCAAACTAAGGATCTGATACCGTCCCTGCGTTCCTGGGAGAGGTAGACCTTGCATAGGTCTGAATCTATCACCGCCCCTAGATGCAAGATCCGAGTGGTAGGGGTGGTGTGGCTCTTCTTGAAATTTACTGAGAAGCCGTGTCTCTGAAGTGTCTCTATTGTGGTCTGTAGATCTAGTTGAGCAGTGTGGAATGAACTGGACTGGATGATTATATCGTCCAGGTAACATTGTATTCTTACCGGTATTAATCTGAGATGTGCCGCTAATACTGCCAGTATCTTTGTGAATACCCGTGGTGCCGAGGATAGACCGAAGGGAAGTGCCCTGTACTGATAATGTCTGTTTGCATGGCAGAAGCGGAGGAATCTGCGATGATGTGGTCTGATAGGAACATGAAAGTAGGCTTCTGTCAGGTCTATGGAGGAGAGGTAATCTCCCTTCCTGACACTTGCTAGAATGGACTTGAGGGACTGCATTTTGAACTTCCTGTAGATTAGGAAGCGGTTGAGTCCCTTTAGATCTAATATCGCTCTCCATCCCCCCGAGGGCTTGGGAACCACGAAGAGAATGGAATAGAACCCTTTTCCTTTTTGTTCTGGAGGAACTGATTTTATGGCTCTTATTTCTAATAAGTGTGATATTGCTGTGTCTACTAGTTCGGCCTTGTGTGCGTGTCTTGAGGCGGGGCACTGAAGGAAACGGTCTGGTGGTATGGACTTTAGTTCTAGGGCTAGACCGAATCTTATGGTCTCTCTCACCCAGGTATCGTTTGTGGTGACCTCCCAAGTGTCGCTGAACAGGGTTAAGCGTCCGCCTATGGGAGGGTCCAATCTGGCGTCACTTAGACCTTCGCAATGGACGGCCTCCCGCCCCTCTGAAGGGTCGCTTGGTCTGGAACTGACCCCTGGCTCCTGAATTCTGGCGGTCCTGTTGGCGATTCTGTCTGGGGGAGAAGGATCGGGAACCTCTGGGCCAATCCCAGGACTGCTCTGATCGAAAGGGCTGCCTCCATTCCCAAGAACTTCTGGCCCTGAAGGACTGCCTGCGAAATTCTTGTTGAGATCTCCTATCCGTCTTCTTGGACGGATGAGCTAAGGTTTTTCTCTTATCCTTCCCTTCAACCAGGTACGGCTCTAGGATTTGGCCAAATAAATTCTTGCCACTGTAGGTGTCTGTAGCAAGACGCCATCTTGACTTTAGGTCAGCCCTCCACTGTTTCAGCCACATGAATCTGTGGGACGCAACTGTGGCTGCAATAGATCTGGCCAAAAATTTGGTGGAGTTGAGGGAAACATCTGACATGTATTCCGCCGTTGTTACTAGTTTACCTAGAGTATGTTGTGTGCGTACCTGGTCTGGAGGAATTAATGCCTGTAGTTCCCGGAGCCAGATGATAGAAGTTCTCGCGAAAAAGGACGAGGACGAAGACTCCCTGATGGCCCAGGCAGAGGCCTGGTGAGCCCTGCGGAGAGAAAACTCAAAACGTTTATCTTCCGCCTTGAGATGTTCGGCCATGTCTCCAGGATGTGGAGAACAAAGATGTTAATGGAGCGTCCACTGTAGGAACCTCTAGAAGGGAAGAGAATGCAGAAGATACATTATACAATCTCTTTTCTGTGCTGCTAGGAGAGGGTAGGGTGGCCAGTGAGGTCCACTCTTTTTCCACTGTCTCGTGGAAATCAGCTGGACAAGGAACTTGTTTTTCCTCTACCACCTTTCTAACAAATAAAGGGTTTGACTCTTGTGTAGACGAGGTAGATGGCTTGGGTTCCTGCTCCGAGGCCAGGTTGGCTGTTGTGCAGGCTTTTAACAAAAGAGATTTGAATAGGTTTGGATCAAAAAGCCCCAATGTTGGGGTTGGATCCTGAGTTACCTCCTCATCCTCAGACATAGGTCCTTCAGTTGTCACCAGGTCAACAGATTCAGTCTCCCCAAACTGAGATGAAGTCTCAGAAATACCTGAACCCGCTGACTGGGGACGTCCAGTGCGGTCTACGGGCAAGGGTGGAGAAGGTGAAACCTGTGAGGGACCAGCTGCTAAGGAAGAAGACATGAATTTATTGAAGGCCTGGTGCATAAAGCTCTGAAACTGTTGAGCCCATAAGGATCGCTCAGCTGAAGGCACACCAGCAGCGGTGGTCTCAGGAGTATGCGTACTAATGTTAGCAGGAGAAATGGAAGGCCCTGGCAGAGGGGATGTAGGGATATGTTGTCTAGGGGCAAATAGACTGACCTGTTCAGTTCCCCCTTGAGGAGACCCTGCCCTGGGGGCTTGATAAGACGGCACCAGTGAGGGCTCATAAGGTGAGCTGGCCAGAGAAGCAGGGGGAACCAATTCAGCTTCTCTGGACCTGAGCCTTTGTGCTTTGGAGAACTCTTGCTCCAGTGCCTGGTGTCTCCTCGAGGCCTCTCGCTCAGCAGTCTTGGAGGGTTCTTTGGTTGATAAATGCTTGGTTTTAGCTTTTTTCTTCCCCCCTGTATTTGAATCAGAGGATCTGCGTTTTGCTTGAATGGGGGGAATATCAGAACCCTGCAAAGCCTGAGGAGACTCACCATCTGCCATTGTGCCCAGGCTTTCCAGGTAGGAGAAGCCCTGGGATGGGGGTAACTACGCAGATCAAGTTGTCCGGGAGGGAAGCTCCCCACGCCCTAAGACAACCACAATGGCAAACAGCCAGAACAGCTGTCTAAAACTGTCTGCTGGGCCCTGCCGGCAGAGCGCCGGGAGCTAAATAGAACAGGTCAGGAACCCCACAATTTAAGATAATAGGTGTTATTATTGTTATTATTATTTTTATTTTATTTTATTTTTGTAATAAATCTCTGAGAAGCAATGCGTCGAAAAAACAATAGCTAAACCCCCAAGAGGACCCAACGCAGTGAGTCACTAATGCTAGGTCTGAATTGGAGGCAAACAGCAACCTTAAAATGGCGACCATGCCCAGCACCAAATTCAAAATGGCGGCCGCAGGTCTTCTTTGCGCCTAAAAATGGTCTCTCCTCTTAGTCAGAGCTGTAAGACAGCTTCTCCGGCCTCGTCTTTGAAGTCCCCGTTCAGGCAGGCAAAAAGACGGAGGGAACCTTACACACACTTCCCCCCTTACAGCTATAAGGCACCACAAACTACTTGCGATTCTGCAGCCTGGGGGAGTCTCTGTGCGATCCTGGATAGAGCCTCATGGCCATGAGGCAAGAGAGAAGCTCTGGTAATCGGCTGAATTCTCCAGAAATGCTGGCAATAAAAATTGTTATCAGACACAAGGGAAGCCTCCCTCGGTGTGCTGAACAGATACTCTGAGCTGAAAGCCGCCTCAGCGGCAAAGCTCCTACGATCCACGAGGCCAATTAGGCCCTCTGGAAAGCAAATCTCCAAGATTGCTAATTCACTATCCTTTACTAAAAAAACAAAAATTATGTAAAGAGTACACTACAGGAAGCTATATTAACAATCCTAATGCTACACTATTTAAACTAACAATTGCTGAGGAGCTAACAAAACTGTGTCCTCTCTGAGCATAGACTAAGACAAACTGGGAAAGGAGCGCCCAAGGGAGGCATGGCTAAAGTTTGGTCTTAGTCTAAATCTGAGCAGGAGGGCTTTGATTACCCAATCGGTGGATGCTACATCTATCATGCTGGAGAATAAGTATGTGGTCAATATCAAAAATTCATCTCAATACTTTGTTATATATCCTTCGTTGGCAATGACAGAGGTCAAACGTTTTCTGTAAGGTTGGCACACACTGTTGCTGGTATGTTGACCCATTCCTCCATGCAGATCTCCTCTAGAGCAGTGATGTTTTGGGGCTGTCACGGACTTTCAATTCCCTCCAAAGGTTTTCTATGGGGTTGAGATCTGAGACTGGCTAGGCCACTCCAGGACCTTGAAATGCTTCTTACGAAGCCACTCCTTCATTGCCCAGGCGGTGTTTGGGATCATTGTCATGCTGAAAGACCCAGCCATGTTTCATCTTCAATGCCCATGCTGATGGAAGGAGGTTTGCACTCAAAATCTCACGATACATGGCCCCATTCATTCTTTCCTGTACATGGATCAGTCGTTCTGGTCCCTTTGCAGAGAAACAGCCCCAAAGTATGATGTTGCCACCCCCATACTTCACAGTAGGTATGGTGTTCTTTGGATGCAACTCAGCATTCTCTTGCCTCCAAACATGACGAGTTGTGTTTCTACCAAACAGTTTTACTGTGGTTTCATCTGACCATATGACATTCTCCCAATCCTCTTCTGGATCATCCCAATGCTCTCTAGCAAACTTCAGACAGGCCTGGACATGTACTGGCTTAAGCAGGGGGACATGTCTGGCACTGCAGGCATAGTGTGTTACTGATGGTTGCCTTTGTTATGTTGGTCTCAGCTCTCTGCAGGTAATTCACCAGGTCCCCCTGTGTGGTTCTGGGAGTTTTGTTCACCATTCTTGTGATCATGTTGACCCCACAGGGTGAGATCTTGCGTGGAGCCCCAGATCGAGGGAGATTATCAGTGGTCTTGTATGTCTTCCATTTTCTAATTATTGCTCCCACAGTTGATTTCGTCACACCAAGCTGCTTGCAGATTCAGTCTTCCCAGCCTGGTGCAGGTCTACAATTTTGTTTCTGGTGTCCTTCGACAGCTCTTTGGTCTTCACCATAGTGGAGTTTGGAGTGTGACTGTTTGAGGTTGTGGACAGGTGTCTTTTATACTGATAACAAGTTCAAACAGGTGCTATTAATACAGGTAATGAGTGGAGGACAGAGGAGCCTCTTAAAGAAGTTGTTACAGGTCTGTGAGAGCCAGAAATCTTGCTTGTTTGTAGGTGACCACATACTTATTTTCCACCATAATTTGCAAATAAATTCTTTCCAAATCAGACAGTGTGATTGTCTGGATGTCGTGCCTGGCAAGGCCGATCCATACAGGGACTCAGGGAACAGGCTCACCCGGTCTCTGCACCGCTTCCTGACTCCGGGACGCTTCCTGACTCAACCACGTGTCCCTTCGGCGTCTGGGAGCGACCTCGGAGGCTGGGCTGTGATGGCTATGCTACAGGCCACCATATGGTCATAAACGTGCGCCTCATCTCCTGATGACATCATCATCATGCGCCTCGCCAGGCCGACACTAAACAAGCATGAAGGAACTGGATGATTGCGGCGGTCAGCTCGCTGGCCATATGGGACGGTTCCACGCCACCAGATGGACTGGTGGGGGCGGGGTGCAGGCAATTAATGGACCAGATGCTGGTTTGGTGGGTGGAGTAGGAATTGAGGGTGTGGGGTGCGGTGGTGGACTATATACAGCACTGGGAGCAAACCACTCCCAGTGCTGACTTTGTTCCAGACAGAGTGAATAAAAATTACCGTTGTCGATCGTACCTGTTTGCCGGCTGGTTTGTGAAGCACCAATCCAGGACAACCTGACGCTGGATTTGTTTTCTCATTTCGTCTCTCATAGTTGAGGTCTACCTATGATGACAATTACAGGCTTCTCTCATCTTTTTAAGTGGGAGAACTTGCACAATTGGTGCCCCACTGTATGTATGTATGTATGTATGTATGTATGTATGTATGTATGTGTATGTATGTATGTATGTATGTATGTATATATATATGTATGTATGTATGTATGTATTGTTTTCTGAGGTTTTCGCAGGTGTTTGTATGTAGGTCTTTGGTTATTTGGGTTTTCTCCCGCGTCAAATTGGAAGTGTCTTGGCGACGTTTCGACAAAGTCTCATTCGTCATCTTCAGGCTGGTATTTTCGGCTTCGTGCTTCTAGGAGCAATGTGTGATCGTAGCTGTTTCTTCCTTTTAACTGCCAGTGGGGGTATGAACTGATTGGATGAGAGCTTGGCTGTGTTCTGATTGGATGGAGGTGTGTTCTGATTGGTTAGGAGCTTGGCTGTGCTCTGATTGGATGGGGGGCTGGCTGTGCTCTGATTGGATGGGGGGTTGGCTGTGCTCTGATTGGTTGGGGGAGTGTTCTCTTTGGGTGGGGGCTTTGTTGTGCTCAGGTTAGTCTGAGTTGCATGGGGATGTGAGATGGTGAGCTGAATTGCTATTGTTTGGCTTCGCGTTCATGGTCGTGCCTCATCTTCATGGTGGGTGTCAGTTTACTTCATGTATGGATTGGAGGGGTTTAAAGTGGCTAATGATGCAGCTGTGGTCTGGCTTCTGGTTTGTGGTTGTGCCTCATCATCGGTGTGGGTTTGGGTTTGCTTTTTGCGTGGACGTGTGATGGTGACATCCTGTGTGGCTTTTGTGAGTGTGGGTCCGGTGTCATTCTTTGTGTTAGGGACTCGTTTGTCAATAAGGGCGGGTTTCCAAATGGCTGGTAGGCGGGAGGTATCATCTCGTTTGTTCATGCTGTGTGGGCGTTTTTCTATCTCGATGGCTTCTCTGATTATTCTATTATTAAAGTGCTCAGTTTTGGCGATAGTTCTGGTCTTTTTTAAAGTCAATTTCATGTCCTGTGATTTTAAGGTGTTGGACCAGGGAAGAAGTTGGTTCCTCTTTTTTGACTGAGTTCTTATATTCCTCAATGCATGCACTTATTCTTCTGTTGAAGAAGAATTCTTCTTATGGGCTTGTAGGCTGGTTCCAGATTGATATGTTTGTTGATCGACCCGTTTGTTGAATACCAGGCTTCAACTAATTTGTGTGCGTGGCATGTGGTGGCATGGCCAATGATTTTTGTTCTGTCCCAGTTGAACTAGAGTTGCTTGGTGCCAACAAGGACTGAGATCAGAGATTTGTGGCCATGCCAGTTGACTGCTAGTCAGTGCTCGTAGATTGCTTTTAGTTGTTGTCCTGTTTGCCTGACATAGAATCGATTGCAGTTGTTGCATTTGATCTTGTAGATCAAGGGTCTCCAACCTTGACAACTTTAAGATTTTTAAACTTCAATACCAGAATTCCCCAGCCAGCATGGGTGATTGAGGAACTTTGGGAATTGAAGTCCACAAGTCTTAAAGTTGCCAAGATTGAAGACCCCGTTATAGATTTCATTGCTGTTCTCTTCCTTCAGTATTTTATCCTTGGTTCTGGACAGCTCTTGTCGGAGTGTTGATACTGGTTTGTGAGCCAGCATTATTCCCAGTGATTGTAGAATTCTGACCAGCATTTCTGACATTCCTTTGACATATGGCAAAGTTTGTTTCCACGCTGAGGCTGGTTATGTGGTATGACACAATTTAGGTGATGTGCATTGGATTGTTGTTGACTGACTGGATGTTAATTATTGGTGTCATTCAGCAGATCTTCAGTTTTGTTGATTTAATTAGTTTTGACAATTATCACCATCAGTCTGCCTTTGTCTGTCAGTAGGATGACAATGTTTTCATCTTGTCTGTTTTTTTAACGCCTTCCTCAGTGATTTCTCACCCTGAGACTAACAAACAGGATAGATATACTTATATACAATGTACTGTTTAATTCAACAAGGTAATACATAAGGATATACCAAGCAACTCCTGAATCTTGTCTGTGTTTACAATTAATCATTTTCAAAGCAAGGTTATTATAGTAAAATATATAGTAAAGTGTGTGCTCTGATATAAGCCCTTCTATTTCATTTTCTGTTGTGGTAAGTATTGAAAAAAATGTATCAGGTATTGAAAAAAATGTATCAGATCCACTCTGTAGTTAAGACATGGCTGAAATTTGTGTCCACATCGATGCCATTTGCTCCTCCTTGGTCCAAATCTGTTTTTGGGGATACAGGTAGCCCTTCATTTATGACCAAAACTGAGATCAGAATTTCCATTGCTGAATAAGGTGGTTAAATGAGTGGCACCCAATTTTATATCCTTTTTTCCCACAGTTGTTAAGCAAATCACTGCAGTTAAGAGAATCACATGGTTGTTAAAGGGAATCCAGTTTCTCCCACTGATTTGGCTCACTGGAACAGTCTGAGAAGGATGCAAATCATAATTACATGACCCTGGGATGCTGCAACCATTGTAAATACATGTTGGTTGCCAAGAGCCCAAATTTTGATCATATGGCAATGTGGATGCTGCTATGATTGTAAGTGCAAGGAACAAGTCATAAGTCAGTTCTTTCAGTGCCATAATTTCAAGCAGTCACTAAATGAATGGTTTTAAGTCAAGGAAAATCTGTACTTACAGCACATAGCCGCATCACATATGTTTATAACACTGATGCTGACCCAGTAGGTGGGAGTTGATATTTTGGAATAATAATTTCTCTGTCCTACCTACTAAATAAAGAATTGGCTCCAGTGTTTGAATGTGGATACTGAAGAGTACACTTAAGGATAAATATATTTTATATATCTTATCAATTTGCAATATATTCTACTCTGCTGCAGTGTTTCTGAATCATTTTTTTCCCTCAGGACCCCTTCCCACTTTTAAAAATTATGAGGGAGCTCAAAAGAGTTTTTGCTTGTATGGGTTACATTTATTGATATTTACTATGTTAATTTCTTTTAAAAAATGATGCATTTGCTGCCCTACCTTTGCTATTATTTTTCAGCATAGGCCAACACATAATTTTGATTGCCCCACTCCCAAGAGGGCCTTGGTGACTTCCAGGAACCCTAGGATTACACGTTAAGAAACACTGTACTATTGTGTTATGTGCAACACAACCCATTGTGTTTACTGTGTCTTGCTTTCTAAACATTTTGATTCATTTCCCATCACTTTTCCCATACCTTTTAGCTGTGCCAACAGGAAGAATGTAATTAGTCCAGCCCATTTGGCAATAAACTGTTCCAACAGTATTTATTAGGAAATAATTACAGTATAATAATGTGGTGATGGTATTAAGATAACACATCTATCTCCCAATGGCTCAGACACAAGCTGAAACAGTCGTGTTCCAAGCAATTTAATGCTTCATAGCACAGCCCCGTAATTTTAGGGACAACTATCCTCAGGATAGATTTACAGAATTAGCATTTACTCATTCCTTTATTTCCATGCCATGAACAACAACAACAAAAAGCTGTACCTATTGAGGTTCTCCCTGTTAATCCACTTTAAGACTCAGAAGGAAGTCTAGCAGCTCGCAAACATTTGCAGAGACCCGCTGACAACGCTAAGAGGTGGGGGGGGGCTTTCTGCTCTGCACGTGCGCCCCCGACTCACACTCTCCTTCCCCCCCCACCCAAAAAAAAGGATTAATAAAAAGGAGGAAGCCGACCGAGAAGACCTTCCAGCTCTCGCGACGACTCAAAAGCCCGGCGGAGGGGAGGGTAAGTGGGCAAGCGCGTTGGGCTCTGGGAAACGAAGCAAGCGGAGAGGGGAGGGAGGAATAAAAATCGCAGAGTCCTGTGGGTACGAGGGGGGGAGCAGGAAACGGTATTCTTGCTTGGGGAGGGAAGCTTCCGGTTCCGGCTGGGCCTGTGAATTGCAGCCTGGCAGTGCCCCCCTGCCCCCACCCGTGAGGGAGCAGAAACGCCCCCCCGCGTATCCTGGGGGTAAGGGCCGGGCCAGGGGGCTTCCCCCCACTCCAATCTTGCTATCCAAGGACCAGCCCCTGCCTGGGGCGCGGAGGAGGCTGGGGCAGCGCCACACACCGGTAAGTGCCACCCTGGAGCCACTCTGGCCCTTAGATTCCTCCCCCTCCCCCCCACACCTGATCCCGAAGGCGAGATAAACCCCCTCACAGATACACCACAGCGCGCGGCTTCGGCTAACTTCCGCTCCCTTTAACAGCCCCACCCCAGCTATTCTGCGATCCTGACTCACCTCCCCTTTCCAGCACACGCTGCTTTCCAGCGTCGCCGTTGAGCCTGGCGCCCTTTTCCCGTCTTGTCCCTCTTGCTTTTTTAAGAGCTGGCCCCGAACCGAAGCCCGCGCCTTGTCGTGGTCTCTCCACGCCAACCCGACAAACTTGTGTTATAATCCTTTATCTTAGCTTGTGCTCCTAGATCGAGCCCGAATTCTGCCGCCCCCATAACTGAATAAACTACTGTCCTCCCATTTCATCCTTAAGCCACCCAGAGTCACGTACGGGCGGTCCGCGGTAGAGATCGAAAGGATAACTGGATACCATATTCTTTTTCATAAAATAAATATTTTCCATAAGTCTTCATCCAGCCTGTACCCGTATTCTACTGTAGTCTCCCTAAATCCAGCCTGTAAGTGTACAGTAAGCCACTTTTTTACACAGAAAGTTGCAATTTTGCTACTTGCCTCAAATGTTATCTCCACCCCACCTTTTTTAATTGTCTGCCAGCTCTTGAAAATTTCTAGGAATGTAGGATGGTGTTGCATATCTAATCGGATCTTTGGTCTAAAAGTAAAATTACTTTTGTCTATAACAGCTATCTTCATCCTAATGCTTAGATGTATTGGGTTGCAACTCCCATAAATATTATGGTTCCTAGGAATGAATATATTTGCACTTAAATATGATTAAAGGCAACAAAGCTATGTTTCCTGTTTCTGCAATGGCATTGGCTCTTCAGAGATTCAGATGGGCATCCTTAGATAGCAGCACCTCCCTAGTTTAGATATTTCAATTAACAGGTTGCAGGAGGATATGCCTCTCAAATCAGCCCACAAGAATGTCTTACAATATTCTGCTATTACCCTTAATTTATTACCCTTAATTTTCCTGCCCACCTTATCTTTGTTATTGAAAAGGATATTTCAAATTCTTTCTGCCTGCTTTACAACAGATTTTAGACTTAAACCCTTCTTAAGTATCTTATTAGTGTCAGGAAAGTACATAAGTACACTGCATTTTTTTTAAAACTAACTATATTGGCTCTGTCTTACATTGCTGTGTGCAAGATGTTCTCATTTACTGTTAAGCTAAAATATCCCAAATATTCATTACATTCCTCTTACTCATTTTCTGCATGGTGTTATGTAGGCTACATGTACTTTTAAAGCAAACTTTCCTAGACTTTGATGGGAATAGTTATGCAACATTTTAGGAAGAGATTATTTATGTTGCTTTACCTCAGGGGTTCCTTAACAAAAGGTGGTGCAATTTTGCTTTGAAAATCTCCAAACTACCTATTGGTTGGTTTGTTTATAAGAAATATATCAATACAGATTTTTTTAACCTATAGAACTGAACAGGAGCAATAAGGAATACAGCATTCATCACTGGAAATTTGATTGAGCTTCTTGGCCTCCATACACCATTAATTTCCTTCTCAGTGTGTATGCTTTCTGTTGCAGGATGCAGCATGCACCTAAATGGATTGTTAGTTAAATTACTCTTCATTTACTTGTTAGCTACATTATACTTTCATAACTTCAAACAGATTTGTTTTGAGAGATAATTTTGGCTTAGTTTGAATTGATCAATAGTTTAAATACTTCCTTATTTTAAATATATATTTTACTATAAGAAAAAAAAGTCTCTCTTCACAATACTTTTTAAAGGGTGGATTTTATTAGCTAAGTCCAGCCAGTGTTGTGAAATGATTTTTTTAAATTATTCAAAGAGAAGCTTACAATGAAGTATAGGTAGTCCTTGACTTATGACCATAATTGAGTTCAAAATTTCCATTGCTAAGCAAGACAGTTGTTAAGTGAGTTTTGTCCCATTTTATGACCTTTCTTGTCACAGTTATTAAGTGAATTGCTACAGTAGTAAAATTAGTAACATAGTTTTAAATGAATCTGGCTCATGACCTGGGGATACTGCAACCGTCATAAGTATGAGTCAGTGGCCTAGTGTCTGAATTTTAATCATGTGACCACATGTATGCTGCCATGGTTGTAAGTGTGAAAAATAGTGATAAGTCACTTTTTACAGTGCCATTGTAATTTTGAATGATCATTAAACAAATGGTTATAAGTCGAAGCCTATCTGTATATATTACTTAACTGCCAACAGAGGAAAAGTAAAAATAGAACTAATAATTCTTGGTTTTTACTCAGAGTACATTTCAAATATTGAGGAGTTCCCATCCCTCACTCTGTTTTAAGTTGACCTCTATGTTCTACTTCTGCAGAATCTATTGTTTTTAAGAGCCCCAATCTCTTTTCATCTGCTTAAACTCAGCAAGACTCTCCAGCTATTTTCAGAGTATCACAATGTAAACTTTATTAGCACTTATTTTGGCCTCCCTGGCATCTTTTTCTTACTATGACTTACAGCAGTTCATTTAGTGACCATTTGAAGTTACAAAGGCACTGAAAAAAGTGAGTTAAGCAGCATCCTCCATGGTCATGTGATCAAAATTCAGACACTTGACAACTGATTCATAATGGTTGCAGTATCCAGGGTTAATGTGATCACCTTTTGTGAGCTTCAACAAGCAAAGTCAATGGGGAAGCCATTACTAACTTAATCACTGCAGTGATTCACTTAACAACTGTGGCAAGAAAAATCATAAAATAGGACAATATTCACTTTACGACTGTCTCATTTAGCAATGGAAATTTTGGGCTTAATTGTGGTTGTAAGTTGAGGGCTTCCTATATTTTGTTGTTTCCAAACTAACTTCACTGGATCTATGTAATGCAAACCTAAATTCTTCCTAATGAGGCATCATATAATTTATTTGATTTATACCTCACATTTTGATCTGAAAACTAGTTATACATGGCATTCCCTCCTCGGACCACTGATCAAGTAGATTTGGCTTAGCCTGAACTTGTACTTGATGTCAGTCCAATTCCTTAATCACTGCACCACACCTTTACTAATATTAATATTAATGTATAGTACAACATAAGGTACTTTGCTTTTTTGTCTTTAGTACAGCTTCTTTTTGACATTAAATAAAGGCGTTTGTACTAGAAGACTCCCTTTCAGAAAACTGGCCTTTGCTCACTCCTTGCTGTGACATATTCTTCTATCTGAGAATCCTAGCGACTGATTCCCAAACTTACATCGTTTGCATTATACCTCAGTGCACTTGCTAAAATAGGAAAAATGTGATTAATTCATCCATGTTGATAAAGTGGGTTGGAACTGAATGACAACATTTTCCAACCTCTTTTGTTTTTCATGAAGTACAGAAAAGGGTAAAGAAAGTGATAATTTGGGAGCCTTATTTGCTGAGACTTAATAAATAAAAGTTAAGGTAAATTAAAATTTATAGCCTTTTTTATTTGCATAAGCCCTGGACATAGCTTACAGTAAAGTTTAAATTAACTATAATTAACTGAAAATTAACTGAAAAAACCATTGAAGGTGAATTATTGAGCAAGACAAAGTAGATAACTTTGACAGACTTTTTACTCTAACTTTTCATCGGGCTTTGTATTGCTTTGCCTGGCTCTCTTTCTTTTAGCAAAGATCTCCATCTAGCTCACAGATTAAGCTATTAATGAATACAAGAAAGCATGAAAGCCACATGTAAATCACTGCATGTGACAACATCCATGCATGCCACTTGTTGCACGCACACATATAAAGTATGTTTTCTACATATATGAAGAAATGCGGCATGCCAGTATGTGTAAATGGGGAGAACACAGATATGTATGATGCTGCTGTAGGCCATGGCTTTTTTTTTGTGCTTACTCCATATAAATGACACATGAGCCATTTGTTAGTAATTACTTTCTTGTGTTTCATATTTATTTGCCATAATCATTTGCCATAATCATTTGCCATTTGCCATTCAGTTCATAGACAAATACAACAGTTAAAAAAGCTCACTTAAGATTGAGAAACATTTTAGCAATAGCACTTAGAGCAGTGGTTCTCAACCTTTTTAATGCCGCTACCCCCAACCGGTCATAAGTCGAGGACTACTCAACCGGTCGTAAGTCGAGGACTACTCAGCTGGTGCAGCACCGTTTGCAGAATGGGACTTTTGACGGGCTCAGCAGGGCAGAGACAGCCTGGACAATTCCTATTGGCTTTTGAAAGCCAATAGAATTAGACTCTATTCAAGAGAGTCTATTCTATTGGCTTTCAAAAGCCAATAGAATAAAAGGGAGTGGCACAGCTAAGGAAAAGGAGAAAAAAATGGTGGACTGCGTTGTTTGGCGACCCCCGTGAAATGGTCATTCGACCCCAAATGGGGTCCTGACCCACAGGTTGAGAACCACTGACTTAGACGGACGGTATATACCGCTTCACAGTGCTTTATAGCCCTCTCTAAGCAGTTTACAGAGTCAGCATATTGCCCTCCAACAATATGGGTCCTCATTTTACCTACCTCAGAGATTCAAACTGCAGGCAACCGGCAGTCAACAGAATTAACCTGTAGTATTGCATTCTAACCACTGCACCACCACAACTCATAATTTTGGAAATTATTTTGAGAAAATGCTTAGAAGCATGATCATAGAACATATCTGCACTTTTCCTGACTTTTGTAGCTGCCTCTCTGTATCTATCATGCAATTCCTGGAAAAGGGTTGACTGCTTTTAAAAAAGTTACAGATAGATACTGTGAAGCAGTATCATTTTTCTTTCGGGGGAAAAAAGCTGAGGCCACATCAAAACTGTAGTTTCATACTGAAATCAGATGAATTAATACCTTTCTTTCAAGACAGCAAAATATTAAATTAAAATGTAATTCTTTATGCTGTTCTAGTCCATTTTTCTAATATTTTACATGAACTTGGAAAAAAAAGGAGAAAGATATAATTGTGAAGATATTTATGAAGTATCTTGTGAGATATAAAACTTACGGTAAAATTAGCTTCACAGATTTGATCTATGAAACTTGTGTGATACTTGCTTTAATTCTTAAGTCCCACAGGAATTTCCATTGTAACATTTTTTTCAGCTAATGTTTTTCTAACTTGTACAGAACAAATTCTATATTCCACTATTAGTATTTTAAAAAAATTTTTTTGAATTTTTATTTATGTGCTTAAACTAAATATACTACAAACAAAAGATAAAAATCGCAACACTGTATAAGTGGGTATCAGCACTATACTACGATGATAACTTTTTAAATGGATGCACACATTTGTAATTTTGGATTCCCAAATATTTGTATGGGACAAACAGATACTGAATTTTCATAAGAAAACTGTCAGGGAATAGTGCAGCCAGTGTCCAAATGGAGTCAGAGACGCTGACACGAACTTGCAGTTTTATATAAATAAATATATTTACAGTAAATAAGAGAGGCAAACAGGAGAAGCAAACCATCACAGCAGGAACATCATGAGGTAAATTACAGGGAGCATGCACTGCACACAGAGGAAAACAAGGAAACTCTCCCTTTATTTATTCCAATTACACCAATTATAGCTCGGATTCTCTCATGCAGTGGACACCTTTCTTTAATCAATTAGCTATAACTGTATTCTTGTTATACAACCCTTAATTGCTCCAGCTATTAAATTTTTAAATATCTTAACACCCTTCTAATTTATAGCTGGACAACATTTAAACCAAATTGTTTCACAAGATCCTTGTGTTTCTATATACCCAATGGCTTTGTCATGAAGTCAGCCAAATTATCTTCTGATGAACAATAAATTAGGTCTATTACATTTTCTTTCATTGCTTCTCTGACATTACAAGAAAACACACCATACCATTGTGCGGCTGCTGATATGGATAACCTGTACCCAGTATACATATTTCTATAGTCTTTCTCCCCTTTCTCTAGGCCGTGCCCCCTCCTGGGTGGAGATGGAAGCCAATGCAGCAAGCGATGAGGGTGTGCATTTCCAGAGCTACCCTTTTGACTTCTTGGAGTTCCTGAACCACCAGCGCTTTGAACCTATGGAGGCCTACAATCACGAACACGCCAAAGCTGTTGCTGCCCTCCCTTGCCCACAGCCACAGTACGAATATGCCCAGCCACCAACAGCTGCTCCACCTGCTCATTTTGACCGCATCCCTGCCACTATTGGCACACCTAAACCCAAAGCTGAAGGCCCGTCCTCCTCCTCTTCCTCAGCCACTTCATCTGGGACCGTTCAAGTCAAGAAAGCTGAACCAGGGGGCCCTGCACCACCTCCACCCCCCCAGCAGCAGCAACCGCCATACAGTACTCCAGCCGTGGTGCAAACAGCAGGCCAGCCTCTCTTTGACAGTACAGCAGCTGCAGCTGCTGCTGCGGCAGCTTACAACACTCCTCAGTGGGGCATAGTAGATCTTTCTGGCCACCAGCATCTCTTCAGCAGCCTGAAACGTGGGCAGGCTCCCCCACCAACTGCAGCCACCGTTACTCCTGACAGTCAGGCAGGCAAAGACGATAAGAACTATTTCCGTCGACTGAAATATTTCATTGATCGGCGATTCCCATGTGGTGTGTGCCAGAAGTCATTCAAGCAGTCATCCCATCTTGTTCAACACATGCTGGTGCATACAGGCGAACGGCCGTACGAATGCACCACCTGCGGCCGTACCTATAACCACATCTCCAGTCTCATCCGGCACCGCCGTTGTCACAAAGATACTGAGGATGCTACTGCTGCTGCCAATGCAGCGGCCGCTAATGCAGCAGCTGCCAATGCAGCGGCCGCCAATGTAGCAGCTGCCAACGTAGTGGCCGCCGCTGCCGCTGCTGCTGCCGCCGCCAGCATAACAGCAACACCTGGCGCTGAGGGAGCAGGCCAGCCTCCTACCCAAAGCGGTAACCTCCAGTCAGTAGCTGCACCATCTGGCGGAACAGCCACATCTGCCCTCAGTGCTGCCATAGCTCAAGCCGAAGGTCCTTTTACCTGCTCTCTGTGCTGGAAAGTGTTTAAAAAGCCAAGCCATCTTCACCAGCATCAGATTATCCATACTGGTGAGAAGCCATTCTCCTGCTCTGTCTGCCAGAAGAGTTTTAATCGCCGGGAGAGCTTAAAGCGACACGTGCGGACACACTCAGACTTGTTGCGAGTCCAGTGTGGGGTTTGTGGCAAAGAGTTCCGGGATGCCTCCTACCTGCTCAAGCACCAGGCCACTCACGCTCCTCCTGGAACTTTACCTCCACGCCCCGAGTACAAATGTGACATCTGTGGCAAGGGCTACGTGGCTCCCCAGAATCTACTACGTCATCGGCAGCTCCAACACGAGGGTGTCCAGCTGTCCAAGGATGGCACCAATACCTTGCCTTATCTGCCACCAGGGGCCTACCTCCTTCCACAAGACCCACAAGGCACGGGCTCTGAGGGAGACACCAAGCCAACCTCCTATGGTCTCTTGGGTGCCCACCCCTTGCTGGTAGGGACAGCGGCAGGCAAGAATTTCTGCTGTGGGATCTGTGGCCGTGGCTTTGGACGACGGGAGACACTAAAGCGTCATGAGCGGATCCATACAGGTGAGAAGCCTCACCAGTGCGCAGTGTGTGGGAAGCGTTTCCGTGAATCTTTTCACCTCAGCAAACACCATGTAGTGCATACTCGGGAGAGGCCGTACAAATGTGAAATATGTGGGAAAGTGTTTGGTTATCCCCAAAGCTTAACTCGGCATAAACAGATTCACCGGTTACAGTTACCTTGCTCTTTACCACCCATGGGACCCTCCCTAACTCCCATGGGCCCTTCTCTCCCTCCACCCCCTGAGGGACTAACGTATGGCTGTTCTGACTGTGGAGAGCGCTTTCCTGATCTTTTTCATGTCATGAGCCACAAGGAGGTCCATGTGGCCGAGAAGCCCTACCCTTGTGATGTCTGTGGCAAATGTTTTGGTTTCATTGAGAATCTCATGTGGCACAAACTTGTCCACCAAGCTGCTCCTGAGCGACTTATACCACCAGATGAAACAGCAGCTGCTGTCGCTCCACTAGAGAACGGGCTAGCTAGTGGTGAGAACATAGCGTCTTATGAAGATCATCCGACCTTGCCAAGTGGAGAACGTTTCTCCTGCTCTATCTGTGGCCAGACCTTCAAGCATTTCCTGGGACTTGTGACCCACAAGTATGTGCATCTGGTGCGTCGCACGTTGGCCTGCTCGGTCTGTGGACAGAGTTTTGCTGGAGCTTACGACTTGCTGTTGCATCGTCGCACACACTTGCAAAAGCGGCACTTCTCTTGCCCAGTCTGTGGCAAGCGCTTCTGGGAGGCTGCCCTTCTCATGCGTCACCAACGCTGCCACACCGAGGAGCGCCCATACCGTTGTGCTGTCTGCGGGCGTGGTTTTCTGCGTTCCTGGTACCTGCGTCAACACAAAGTGGTTCACACAGGTGAGCGTGCTTACAAGTGTGCCCTCTGCAACAAGCGCTTTGCCCAGTCATCCAGTCTGGCAGAACACCAGCGTCTTCACGTAGTTGCCCGGCCTCAGCGTTGCCCAACTTGTGGCAAGACCTTCCGCTACCGTAGCAACCTTTTGGAGCACCAGAGAGTCCACCTGGGCGAGAAAGTCTACCGCTGTGACCGCTGCTCCAAGAGCTTCTTCTATCTGTCATCCATTCTGCGTCACCAACGCTCCCACGATGCTAAGCGTGAATTGAGATGTGGGGCGTGCCTCAAGCTCTTCAAAGACCCCAAGTATTTTAGCAAACACCTCCAAGCCCATCAGGGAGGACGGCCCTTCAAATGCAGCACCTGCGGAGAAGCCTTCTCCAATACTTACGGCCTCAAAAAGCACCGCCACATTCACAAGATGGAGCGCTTTGCTGCCATGGGGGCCCATAAGGAACAGCCCTAATGTTGGAATAGTAGCAGCAGAAAAAAAAATGGGTGGTCCGTATCTTGGTACTGTAGGATGGGACATGCAGCTACTTCCAGGTTTCTGTTGAGCCAAGATGGCAAGGCATTTCCATGTATAGAATATAAGATGTGCTTGTTAGCAGTGAGATGCTCCAGTTGGGCACTAATTTGGAAGAGTCATCCAATCATAAAGTCACGAGAGGACAAGCCAGGTAGAGGCAAGAATGAATTGTAAAGATAGGGTATAATTAACAAGAGGTAGTCGCCAGTTACCTGCTAGATTTCTGCTCTCTGACAGAGTATCTTGACCACTCTGGATTTTTTAACTAATTGTCTAGGGAAAGGGAGATGGAGATACCAATCATAGAAGTGACCTTTGCCTGTCAAGCATGGCCACGGTGCTGGGGGATGGAAGTTTCTTCCTGTTTCTGAGCAAATGGGAACAAATAAGGTTATGGTGGAATGACATTTTTTTTTTCATTTGAAGCCTCCATTCTGGAATGGAAACCGTATATGGCATTCCAGTTCACAAGAAGAGATGGTGCTTCCTGTAATCCCCTAGAGAGAAACGTTAGACCCAATTCATTCCTTTGGGAATGAGACAGGAAGGACCATGATACAGCACTTGAGGAATGTCCACCAATCTTTTGTGTAAACTCAACTATGTAATCTGTATTAGGTAAGCCTTGCTTGCATTCTGAGAGAAAGACTTTAATTAGTGTTCCTTTCTTCATATGTATAAAGAAAATAGGCTAGTTCTCAATTTTTTAAGACCTGGGAGGTAGTGAGACATGGCTGAGGATAGTAGAAAGTTAAAGAAGTCTGCTTGAATTGTCTAGTGCAGTGGTTCTCAACCTGTGGGTCAGGACTCCATTTGGGGTCGAACGACCATTTCACGGGGGTCGCCAAACAAGGCTGTCCGCCATTTTTCCCCCCTTTTCCTTGGCCATGCCCCTGGTACCCGGTGATGTATAAGTGGTTGGGGGTCACCACAACATGGGGAACTGTATTATGGGGTCACGGCATTAGAAAGGTTGAGAACCACTGGTCTAGTGGGTGGCCCCTATTATCTAAATGCTGTTGTGCCATCACATTTCTATTATATTCCTGCCTCCAGAACAGTACCAGTTCATGATGCAATTGGAGGTTCACAAAACTGTACTATGGAGAAAAAAAAATTGAGCCCAGAAGGTTTCTAGTCAAGCTTCCCTGCCATGCCACTTTCCACATTTAGGGAGCACTGAATGTTAAAAGGCATTTGAAGTTGTTATTCTTGCCATTATGCACCTCTGAAGAAGCAAAATCCCAGGATAATTATAATGTGTGCTTTTCTAAATGTTCAAGTTGGCCCATCAGGAGTAGACAGGAAAGGCAAAAGTAGGCTAGGCTCTTTCCCCCTTGGATTAGCTCTCTTTCTTTGTGCTCAACATCCTCCCTAATCTATTGGACTCAATATAGATGAACTCATGTGTGAATAATACCTTACTTTGAGCCCTAAAGTGGAATGTGGGTTTGGAGAGAGTTGTGACTGTGTACATTGTTAGCCTTCCCTAATGTTAGCTTTCCTTCTGCCCGCCACTGAAAGTTGGTTATGAAACTGTGTGTGAGAGAAAAATAAACTTAATTGGTGGGTCTACCAGGATTGCACAATGCTTTGGCTGCTCAGCTGCTCTCCTGCATTCTCTGGTTTGATCCATTACCCTTTCCTAGTAAGACATGGTGTATCCACATTGTTCATCGAGCTGACTGCCCTGGCCTTGTAAACTCCATGGTTATTAGACTTGTATAGCGCTTCAGGTTTGACTCCAAAAAGGTACTTCAAAGCACAAACACAGCATCAGGGATTGTGTGATTGCTGGGGGTGTCTAAAAGTCATTCAACGGGTGTTGTGTTCATTGGGTGTTGTGTTCATTGCCCCAAGCATTCCGAAGCACCTTATCAAATCTGAAGAAATGCAAAGCCCCCTTTTATACATATTCGACACCAATCTGCATCTGAAGTGGAGAATGCTGGCCAGGCACGAATAAAAAGATCTTTGCAAATTCTCTGACTTCCCCCAATAACCTGTCTCCTTTCCTCCTCAGTCCTCCTTCAGAGAAATTGTAGACATTGCAGCACTCCTTTAAATAGACTGGAGGGGAAACTAATTTGCTAGATGCAACCAAAGAGTTCTAAAACCAGGTTCCCTTGTGTACAGGGAACACCACACAGGTAATTCCCTCTTCCTCCCACCTCCCCTTGTAACCCAAACTGACAGTACAACAGAAAGTAATTTCAGCATTTCCACTCTAGCAGAGTAAGAGCGTCTCTTCTACCAGATGGCTGCACCAAAGCTCCTTGATGTTGCTTTTGGTCTACTACCCACTTGCTCACATCCACAGTTCCCAGATTGGTGAGTGGCAATCTGTGATTATGAGGATCCAAAGATGTAATGTTTAAATTTGGTTGTCCAGTGCCTAGAAGGGGAAATGTTGCCAAAGGCTTTTTGAACAGTAGAGAATAGGAGTTTATTGAGTGCAGGTATTTCTTAAGGCAGCCTCTCTCAATCCCCCACAAGTCTTGGCTTACAATAGCTAAGCAGTCTCCATGCTCAGTGAGCACATTGGGAGGGAGAAGGGGTGGATAATGGCAGTATTTGTGAAAGGTACTATTATCAATGCTTCCTTGAAGAAATTGCCGCAAAATTTGGTGGCCAAATATAGAAATATGAAAAGAGACGGGAAGAAGACTAAAAACGTTTTCCAGCCTTCCAGACAATTTCCTCATTGGCTAAGCGGGGGGGGGGGGGGCAAATCATGTCCACTTTGAATCGGCCCAGTTAGATTAGCGTCTGAAACGTACTGCTTCCTCTTCTATCTTCAGAAGTGATTGCAACTGGATGTTCCTTGTTTATCTTTGTACTAAATCGTTAAAGGTCTGGATTTGTCACTGAAATTCAGTGAATTGTGGTGGTAGCTATACCTCAGTCTGTCTTTTACAGAAATCGTTTTCCTCATTTCGAATTTTTCTTCCCTGCCTTCACAATTTGCAAATAGGAGTGAGTTTAATATAGGTAGTCCTTGACTCATGACCACAATTGAGCCCATAATTTCTGTTGCTAAGGGAGACATTTGTTAAGTGAGTTTTGCCCCATTTTACAACCTTTCTTGAAACAATTGTTAAGTGAATCACTGCAGGTGTTAGTAACATGGTTGTTAAGTGAATCTGGCTTCCCCATTGACTTTGCTTGTCAGGTCACAAAAGGCGATCACATGATCCTAGGGCACTGTCATAAATATGAGTCAGTTGCCAAGCACCTGGATTTTGATCACGTGACCCTGGGGATGTGGCAATGATTGTAAGTGTGAAAAATGGTCATAAGTCACTTTTTTCAGTACTACTGTAACTTCAAACGATCACTAAATGAATTGTTGTAAGTCAAGGACTACCTGTATTAGTTTTTCTTATATGTACTTTCTGTGCTTTGCAGAACTAGATATTTCTAAATTGTATATAATTTAGAAGCCCCCTTGACAGCTCCCCAAACTGGGAACTTGTTCTTACAGGAAAGGCTTTTATTGGTTAATAGTACCAATTTCTTCATCTTGGGGAAAAAATGAGTTCATCGTGATTAATCAATAGGTGATGTTCCTGTTAACTGGCTTCATAATAGCTTCCCAAATGGGCAATGGAATGTGAAATGGAGAAACAAGTTGATCAAAGAACATACTGTGTTCCCAAAATCACTAAATTTATGTCTTTTTCTCAAGGATACAGGATTTCTAAAGAATTTCTTAAAAATTGTAGGCCTGGAATATAGGACACAAATTTTATTATTGAAGATGCCTATGGAATGCTTGCTTCAGTCACAGAATTGGTGCAAACACATTTGGCTAGGTCTTGCTTCTTAAGTCAGAATGGTGGCCTGTTTCCTAGTCAGAAGACAATGCAGTCATCCAAGTATGTTTATTTATAAAATCCAACTTAAAAGGAATTAGTTGACCTTAACTAATTCTTGTAATTCGTGTACTTAGAATCTGAACGTTTGGAAAATGGCAAAAATGGAAATACATTTACTCTTTCAATGTATAGTTGACAAACAAAGAGAAGAAACTGAGAGTGCAAAATAGTTCTTTTCTATTTTTCTAGCTCTAGCAAACTAAATACCTAAAAGATGGATGGGTAGAGTGTTTGTTATTAGGGACATATCCGATCACTGTTACTATTTGCATCCATTCCTCATCCCAGGAACCATTTGTCCAAATCTCTTTTCTCTGTTGTGGTTGGATTTGTTAGTGGGTGCAAGTCATGCCCCCCAAAAATATATTAGAGACAAAACACCTATAATTTCCAGTTTATCTAGAATAGTAGTTCTCAACCTGTGGCCCATGGACCCCTGTGGGGTCAAGATGTCATCCCAGGGGTCTGTGAAGGCTTGAAGAAATTTATGATTTAAATCTTGTTAAGTCTGTGTCCACAAAAGGTATTTAAAGGGGGTCCATGGTGAAGAAAAGATTAAGAACCATTGATGTAGAAGGTATGAGGACTCTAGTCAAGTTGAGAGTAAGGGGCTAGAAAGCAGTATTCCATGGACAATTGTGTGGGAAGAGTTTTTAAGGGAGTAGTGGGTTGTTGAGATGAAGTAATCTATTTTTTAATTGTGGTTGGGAAATTGAGTTTTTTGAAGAACTAGTTTTGGAGTGTGTAATCAAGAATGATCAACCATCTTTTCCACTCTACTCTTCTGCCTTGCATATGTTCTTGGATGGATTGTTAATCCTGAATTACATCACTAAGATGCTGGATATCCTACAGATGCCCACACCCACTTGGCTTTGTTTGCTTCACCCTGGAACTATGAAGTAGAGGGCAGGGAAGATATTCCATCTTTTGCTGGCATCAGACTTGATTTTGCTGTTTTGAGATGTCACCTGATACACAGCCATCTTCTCAGAACTTCTTCAACCCTCCTGTTCTTTGAGGAAGATGGACTCTATAGTTCTCTGACTGGTACTGTTGTCCTGTACTCTCCTTTCTCATCTCATACAGGGAGATGGATGTCTTTAAGACAGGACTTGAACATCCCCAAACTAGTGACAATTGCAAATTCAGAATAAAGAGTATACCATTGATAGGACCCAACCCATTGCAATCATGTTAGCTAATGACTTTTTATATTAATACAGATATATAAATACATACATTTCTATATAAATACTTCTTTTTAATAACCTCCCCTCCTTTTCCCATTGGCCAGAGTGCAGGAAGTGCAGTTCTTTTGATGCCAAGATTTATGTCCCTATGATAATGTGTACTAAAATATGTATAGGACCCCCATCCTTGTCCATGCGGCTGATGGACCTAAAATGATAACCTGTCCCTTCTTCCTTCATTATACCCCTTGGGACCTGTACAGCGTGTGTTTCTCAGTCAGGGGTGGGGGAATGGGAGTGTGTTTTGTGTTTTAAGCCAAGCAATCATTTTAAAAATGTCTGATTTACAATGTACAGACTAAACAAACATTAAAAAAAAAAGAATTTGGATATTGTTTGTGCTGAGCCACGTTGTGTTACAAGCTGATGTAAGAGGACTTCCCTTCAAACAATGTGAGTATATTGTTAGAATTAACACAGAATAACTAGGTTTATAATTCTCAAACTAATGAAACAAAAAACAAAAAAAAACAAATGAAGTAAGCAATGGCAGATGCTTTTGAATCATGCTGTCCTTGTAAAAGACAAAAGGAAGTTGCATTTACTCAGCCAGATAGATCAAGGTGATCCTGGTATAGATAACTGTTGCAGAAAGAAAGGGCTTTCATTCTTCAAGATTTGGCCTATTTTCTCCAACAAGTCAGAGCATCCTTTATTTACTCAAAACCTCTTTTGCAGGAGGGTGGAGCTTTAGAGGACACTGACAGCTTGGGAAATTCTACATGACACAACACAGAATAAGTTTTTTTTACATCGCCTTATTCTTAGAGAAATTGCAAAGAAATGTTTAGAAACATTTATGCATGCTCATCTATTCTTGTAAATTAATAATGAGATGAGATGAAGTGTTGTGGAAAAATTGGAGGGTACAGATTGAAATGGGAGTTCTGGATATATTTTGCACCACGAGACTGGTAGAGTAGTACCGATATCGTCCAATGTCATTTTACAACTCATGTGGAAAATAGTTGAGAATTCACCATGGACATTTTAAAATGTTTATATTAAATAAGAACAAAGAAAATGCAGAGTTGAGGGGGGGGGAAATTACCTTAAGTTTATAGAGCTTTATAAGATTCCTTACTTCAATTAACAAAAAGATATCTAAATTGACAAAAGGATTTGAGTTGGAAATAAGTTGGGTAGCAACACAGAGGTAGCTACAAAGCCATTTAATTATTTTTAAAGATCATTCAGTTCTTTTTATATAGAACTTTTAGTTAGATTTGTACGTAAATCAATTTTGTTGATATAAACTTTTTTCTAACATGCTTGGGTTTGCAAAGTAGAATGCCAACAAATATTTTGGCTTTGGATATTTGCTAATAGAGATGCACACACAGACACAGACACACACAGTTTACTTCATTGGTGTAAAGTAAGAAACTTTTATTTACTGAAATCTTTTGCGGCATATATTTTTAAAATAATTTTATAGCTAGTTGAAAATACACTCATAATTAAAATGAGTGGATTATAACAGCTACACACATATTGAAAAATTATATCCCATACCAATATGAAATATAAAATCAGAAGTAAGGCCAGTTTAATTCCATGGGACTTGTGCCCAGGCTAATAAGTTTAGAAATTCAACATAAACTATCCATTTCCCAGATACTTTAAATTTGTAAATAACTTTTTTTTTTTTTTGGTAACAGGAAAATTCTGACCAAAGCATGGCTCTGTTCACATAGCATGCTAGCTTTGGTTAACAGTACCATGACTTGCTAATCTCACTAGGCTGGGTGAGTTTGCACAGCATCTTGTGTTACCCACAGTGGATGACCACACAGCCCATTGAGCTAGCAAGATGGGCAGAGGCAGTTCCCAAATCTAACTAAATCTGCTCTCCATTCTGTGCCCCACCTTAGAAACTGCAGCAGGCATTAATACACTAAGTCTTCTTTTCATTGGCAGTCCTCCACTTAACAACCTTTTGTTTAGCAACCATTCAAAATTGCAACAGCACAGAAAGTGATTTTCAACCAATATATTTATGACCATAGCAACAACCCCGTGTCCACATGATCAAAATTCAGGCACTTGAAAACTGGCATGTATCACTAATGGTCGCAGTGTCCCATGGGCCATGTGATCACCATTTGCGACCTTCCCAGATGGCTTCCAACAAGTCAATGGTAGAAGTCAGATTTGTCTAAAATCACATGATTCCTTTAACCACTGCAGAGATTTGCTTAACAACTGTGGCAAAAGTTGGGCACAACTCACTTAACAGAAATTCTGGTCCCAGTTGTTGTAAGTCGGGAGCTACCTGTGATAACAAGCCAAAACATTGATTTTGATTGATATCTAGATGATGCTGAACATTAACTGGAACTGTTCTGATCCCCGTGACTCAATTCAAGCAGGGTATCAAACCTAGGATGGGGCTGGCTAAATGCATTACAGATCTGCATGCTCCTTCCCGCCTTTGCATTTTAAGTTTCTATGGTTATTCAGTCTGGAATTAAAAATTGTAATTTGATTGCAGTCTCCAAGGTCTGGTTTGCTGTTATCAATCAGTAAATCAAGAAAAACGGCATACAGCTATGACCTGCCTATGAAATGCCAGGTCCCAGATAACAACTTGGTGCTTTCCAATAATTTGGGGCGCAATTGCCCACTATGAAGATGCTGATTGGTGTTCATAGGCGTTGAGTTTCAAAACATCTGGAGGCACTGAATTGTCTGGAAAATTGTTTATTAAAACCTCAGCATTCAGTATTGTAATAGCACATTTCATCCTTGTTTGTTCATTCTACCTTTCAATGTAGGAATTGAAAAACAAAATCAATGTGGTTTTACCTTCCAGAGTTCTTTTTCTACTGCTTTATTCCTATACCCCATGCTGTCTGGCCCATGTATTCGACGATGCTTGGCAAAGTTAGAGGAGTTATTGAAACGGCGGCAACAGACCGCACATTCAAAGGGCTTCTCTCCAGTGTGCAGTCTCCGGTGAGTGGTTAAGGCTGAGCTCTGTGTGAACCGCTTGCCACAGACACTGCAGCCGAAGGGCCTTTCACCTGTGTGCACTCGTAAATGCTCCTTCAGGTCTGTGGCACGACGGAACTGTTTGGGGCAGGCAAAGCAGAGAAACGGCTTGGATTCAAGTGTAGAGGGAGTGTGTCCATTGGAGGGCTCCCAAGCTGGGAAAAGAAAGCAAGAGGTGGGCCTCTCATCTTCCCTATGCTGAGCAGTACTTCCAAGCTGATCCTGCAAAGAGTGGTATCTCTGAGACTCACAAGCATTGCAAGATACAGAACATGGATCAGGATCCTCCAATTGCCAAGGTGATCTTGTAACCTTCAGACTGGGAGAAGAGCCTTCAGAGTCATCCATTTCTGAGGCAAGATCTTCCCAGGCTATGCCATGTTTGAGCCACGTAGATGGTTCCACTTTGAGAACATTCAACTTTTCTGAGGCACATGTTTGAAAGTCTCCGTGGGTGTTACTCTTCTGGGTCAGCTCTCTTTCTCTAAGGACACCGAGAGAAACTCCCTGGCTATTGTTTTCCTCTGGCTCGGAAACTAAAGTTTTGCTTTCATTGAATCCCCCCACACCGCCTTCCCCTCTACCATTTTGCCTTATCTCTGTTCCTCCACTTGCCCCTCTGCTCTGTTTGAGCCCTCTTGGGCCATTTGGCCTCCTTATTCCAAAACCCCTCTCAGAGCTCCCTTGATTCAGCTTGTGAGCAGAGCCCCTGTTGTCCGCGACTAGCAAGAAGCCTTTCCCACAGCTGCTGCCACTCTCTAGCTGTAACTTACCAGGGCAGCTGTCAACCAGTTGCTTCTGTTCTTCCTGAATGTGGCTTCCCCCTGCTCTGTTCTGCCTTGAGAAGGGATCTGTGGGATCTTCAGCGCTTGCCTCTGGCAGTTGCTTGAAGCTGTGGCCATTGGGGATGGATTCTTGGCGGTAGCTGCAATTGCTGTTTCCCCCTAGTTCCCCAGCATGCCCATTGCTGTCATTTGCTTGCTTCAGAGCATCTGCCTTGAGATCATCTTGGTTGCCCTGCCTTGTAGCAAGATTAATACCAAGACTGACATCATCCTGTTGCAGTCCCATTCTGTTGAAGGTATCCATGCTACCACTTAGTTGTCTTTGGCTGCTAGTGCAGTAATCCCCTTGGCTAAGCCTAGTGTTATAAAAGCAACTTTGCTTCCCTTGAAGGTTTTGATCGGCCTTGTTCTTGCCTTCTCTTAATTCTTGGATGGTCTGACAGCCGTTTTGCTTCAACAGAAGAGTAGGACTTAGACTTCTGCCACCCCTCCCTTCTTTCACTTGCTCCAGTTTCTTTCCAGGCAGAGAATCCCACTCCTTCCCACCAACTCTCCCTTCACTGTACCCAAATGGTGGGCCATGAATGCGTTGGTGCTTGCGGAAGTTGGAGCCATTGTTGAAAGATTTAAAGCAGACACTACAGTGAAAAGGCCGTTCTCCAGTGTGAATGCGCATATGGCCAGACAGCACTGAGCTCTGAGTGAAGCACTTGCCACAGATGCCACATTCATATGGCCTTTCACCGGTATGCACCCGTTCGTGATCACGTCGGTCTGAAGCCCTCTTGAAGCGTTTGGGGCAGAAAGAGCAGCTGTAAGGCCTCTCAGCGGGGAGGACCAAAGCCTCAATACTGCTGGACAACCAGCTCTGAGGCACTAAAAGGAAGTTTCTGAAGCCCTGGCATTGGGGTATTGGCTTGTGGGGCCCAGCAAAGCTTGGCAGGTCTTCCTGGCACAGGGGGCATACAGTGGGCAGAACTGATCCAATCTCTTCCTTCACTGTTACTAGCTGGATCTCCATTGGCTAATCCCCAGCATCTGTCCTGAAAGTGACAGAAAGGAGACATGTAAACTACAGAACAGAACAAAACAAATGGAATGGAAGCCAGCACTCACTCACAGGGAGAATAGGGGTCTACAGCTCATTTCCTGATTTTAAAAAACTAAGGGTCGAAGTGAGAAAAGCACAGTCTGATAAGAAATGGGGCATCCAAATTTGATTTCCCCACTCATTCAAACGCATGCTGTTGTACTCATTCACTTAGGTCAGAGAGGATATCTATATATCCCTGTGGTTGCTAGGAGCCCAAAATAACTTGATGGTGTCTAATGTCTGATGATCCACATATCAATGTAACAAAATAATGGACCTCAGCTAAAAATTACCTTGCTCAAGCAATGAGAGCATCCCACTGCTTTTGTCCAGGTTCAGATGTTAAGCTGACCTAATCATGGTTAATACTTAGACAAGGAGCACCGGGGAACCCCAGAGCTGCAGGTTAGCACATTGGAAGAAGACAACGGCAAGTAATGTCTACACTTGCCAAAAAACCTGCATGGTTGTCAAACATAACCCAAGGGCATTTTTCCCTTAACCTTTTTACAAAAAAACAGGCCATTGTGGAGAAATCAACAGCTACTAGAATATATGTTTTCAGTGAAAGGCAGCAATAATGAGCAAAAGCATCAGACAAAATCTGGGACATGGTGTTCTATAGGTTGCCAGGAAGTAAATTCCTTTCTACAAGTCAGCACAGTCATAAACTATGCTCCACCGCTGGCTTGGTTGCTACATCTAGGTCAAAACTAAATAAATCAAGTTAAAGCTTATCTGATGTGTGAAACCCAGCGCTCTGAGCAGAATAAGGTAGGATGTAAAAAGTGTCTCACACATCAACCAAGAAACCTGTTAAGAATCCTAACTAGGCTTCCCTCAAGCCAGCTGGTCTCAGCACTACAATTCCTATCATTCTCAGCCAGGAAACTACAGTCCTGATTCAGAGCTCACCTATGGGTCTTCCTTGTGTCCCAATTCTTAGAGGTTGAAGCAGGCTGAGCTACAAAGCCTTCCTCTCTGCCAAACAAGAAAAACGGACCAGCAGGAGAACCTCTGAAAGCCCTATGCTGTACTGGATAATATAAATATTAATGTATATTGCTAGTCCATGTGTGAGAGCGTCCATGTACGCTAAATAAATAACAATTGGAGAGCAGGTTCTGTTTTTAACTAAACCAGATATCCCCAGTTGCTATTCAAACTGGCTGAGATTTCCTCCCTTATTCAGGAAGGCCATTTGAAATCCCAACAGCCTCTTCCCAATGGGTTAGACTACAACTCCTATCACCTCCCAGGCAGTTCCCTAAACCTATCATTACAGCGCCTCACCCTGCTTTCAAGCAGACCGTGCCCTTCACCTTCCAAGGAAGCCGGAATCTCCTGGGGATCGAGGAATTCGAGCTGAATCCTCCAACCTTCCTGAAGAACCCGTGTCGCTCCCCTCCCCGCCTCTACGTGCCCAGAAACCAGGTGTTCGGGCCCGGCTGCCAGGGACATAAGCAGCGCCGTCTTCCCACCCCCGGATCCGCTATCTTCGGCTGTGAAATCGGAGGGTGCAGAGAACAATAGTCCGGAGCTGGCAAAGCTTGCGCGATGATCGGCTGGCTGGCTGCTTGCCCGATGCCAGAAGCGAGGGAGTTCTCCCCCCCTCCCCTTACTACAAGCTTAATTCACTGCACATACACACACACACACACACACACACACACACACACACACACACACACACGATTCACTTGGGTTCTTTGTCCCCAGAGGCATGGAAGTTCCTACTCATCCCTGGGCAGAACACCGGAGGCTGTCCGTACCTGCGTGCCCGCTTCTAGGATGTATTCTCACCTGTACCTGTTCTCCATTTACTTTAACACGAAGGTTTTTGTCTTCGGGTCCTTTGCAACTTTCAGCTGCCTTCGCTCAGTCGAACAAGCGGTTGGGGAAAGCGCTCCCCGCCCCGCTTCTCTTTAGGCTGCAGTTCTCTTTCCATGCGCGCGCATCCCCTTTAACTGAAACCGAAAAAAGAAATTAAAGGGAATGGTAGAGTTGGTCCCCTTATTTTTGCCGCCCGTCAAAAACGCAAATCCTCGTTCCCCGTCCCCCCACCCTCCGGCCCCAGTTTAAAGGCACAAGACGCTCGTGTAAAATCGCGAGACTCAGTCATATATATTGACGCGCTCATTACGTCGTTTAGGTTAAATCAGGAATGTCCAAACTTGGCAGTTTTAAAAATTATGGACGGAGTTGAAGTCCACAAGTCTTCAAGTTCCCAAGGTTAGACACCCCTGATTTAAATACAGTATTTTTCAGTGGAGTAATAAAGGTGAATTACAGTTGAATCCTAAAATTGTTCTAGGATTAAAATTTCTACATTAGAGTTACGTTGCAAGCAGAAGGATCACCATTTGGTCACAAAAAATAGGCCTACAAATGTAATTCCCTTCCATCATCTAATGGTGGTCTGTACTTTCAGAGCTCACATCTGACAGCATAACAGAGACCTTCATTGTGCAGTAAATATAGTGAAAGTTAAGAGAGCCCCCGTTGTCCTGCGTCTTCAGCAAACTTAATTATGCAGGGTAGGGTAACCATATCTGAGATGCAAAAATCCAAATTACTTGATGGCAAAGAAGAGATATAGATAATTTTATCTATGCACAATTTGGTAGCCTATCTAAAATAAACCTGATAAATCTCACTTCTTATAACTGCAGTGTAAACATGCTATGAGGCTATGTTTGCCCATGTCTTCATGACACATGAAGGCAGTTTAAAGTTGTTCTTAGTTATCCCAATTTTATAGTGTTGCTTCTTTACTCTCAAATCAAAAATTGGTGTTAATCTGATGTGCTTCAATATGGTTCCTAATCAAAGAATGGAATGTTACAGATATTTATCTTTTTATCCCATATTCCATCACTTATCTATAAACATATCCATAAACCATATTTTCAGTCCTGGTGTCAGTGGAAAGTCCAGGAAAGGTAACAACATATCTTATTTTAACCTTGGTCAAATAACCAACTTTATATTCTTTCCTTTTACTTCTAACAGTCGTTATCACTCAAATATTGTTGCAGAGTTTGATTTCATTTCTTCTTTGTTTCTTCATACAGAGTTCTTCAAGGCTTTAATAAGCCCCTTCTGTAAATACAGTAGAAAAAAATTGTCCAAGTCATTCTCTTGGTTTATCATTTGCCTTTTAAATTTTAAAAACCAATCTGTTGTATTTGTAGATTTGTAGATCCAGTGCAATTCCCTTTTCTAAATAATTATCTACTGTCAATATCATATCTATTTTGTCATATAACATTTGGTCTACATCTGACACTTCTTCAGAAGCATCTTTTGGACAGTTTATCCATTAAAACTAGACCATAATTACTGCATTGTTGATATAATGCTACTGATTCCATTCTTCAAAAGTCTCCCTCAGTATTTTTATTGTCATAACCAACTTGAGAGGCCTGTTATATTTCCTTTACCTAAAATCTGTAGTTCCCTCTAATGTCCAGTTTTTGAAATCTATTATTTATTTTGTGTCTTGTAAAAAGCAAAACAGGATCTCTTTCCCATAAGCTGCTGTCTGTATTTTATAAATAATTCTAAAATCTTATTGTAAAAGTTTCAATGTTCCAATTTTGTCTGCCCCCCTTAGACTGTTTATATCTTTGTAAGATTAAAGTCTTATGATGCTTTCGTGCTATTTCAGACTCTTTAAATTTTTACGCTTAAAGTTTTCCTTGGTTCACGATTAAAGGCAGACAATTGTGATCAGGATGACTAATCCTATTTTCCATACTCAAACCTGCAGAAATCCATCCTATGGTTTGCTTGAGTGGAGCAGCCAGCCAGAGCACATATGGGCCATCTCCCATCTTTTCCTTATCCAGAGACATTCCAAGGAACCAATCTACTCACCTGTTCCTTGGCCTTTGCCACAGTCATGATAGTTCACCATAACCTCCCCCACACTCTTAATGTGTGAATGCTCTGATCTTCAAGGCATGCCAGTTTTTATGATCCACCATCCCCATCTGGGATAATTAGTCAGTGATGAAATGATGAAAAGATTTTTTATCATTTTGTAATCACTTACAGCATCCCCCAAAGTAATACAACTGAAATATTTCCATAAAATAAGCAACTCTGCTGGTTTAGAGTGCTAAATATTTTCTTTCCCTACATGGTTGATTTGTCAATGTTTGTCCAGCATAATTAAGAAAGGCCTTGTTTACTTGAATTTCAGTAAAGTATTTGAAAAAGTAGACCACAATTTACTTCTTGGTAAGATAGAATAATGTACAATAGATAGTACACTACCAGATAGCTGACCAACTGCTCCCACTCAGTGAAACTACATCTATATGGGGGGAAGTATGCACTAAGTACCTTATGGTTCTATTGTGGGCCCAGTACTCTTTAACATCTTCATAAATGATTTAGATCAGGGGTGTCAAACTGCCGGCCCGCGGGCCGGTTTCATCATACCAAAGCCGTGCCCACCAATGCAAAAAGAGTTGTGATACGTCATGATATGTCACGTGACATGGCATGTTTGACACCTGTGATTTAGCTGAAGGAATAGAAGGGGAATTCATCAAATTTGCAGACAACGCTAAGCTGGGAGAAGTGCTAACACTTTGGAAGATAGATTCAAGATTCAGAAGGATTTTGACAGATGTGAGCATTGACTCCTATCCAACAAAATGGAATTTAGTGGTGAAAAAAAGGAAGGTGCTACACACTTAGGCAAGAAAAAATAAATACACAAGTATAGAATAGGCAGCACCTGGCTCAAAAGTAGTGCCTGGGAGAGGGATCTAGGAATCCTGGAAGACCATACTTAAGTATGGGCCAGCAGTGTTCTGCACTTGCCCCCCCCAAAAAAAAATCTAATGCAATTCTGGGCTGCATCAACAGAGGGATAGTATCAAGATCACGTGAAGGGGTATACCTCTTTATATTACACGAGTGAGGCCACATTTGGAATTCTGGGTCCAGTTCTAGTCACCAGAATACAAAAGGAGATGCTGAGAACCTAGAAAGAGTAGAGAAGAGCAACAAAGATGCTTTATTGCTTTCTTTGGAGCAACTGCAAGGATGCTAAGGATGAGGATAAACAGCATGATGGAGGGTTGTGGACACTACATACTATGTCTAGTCTAACAAAGAGAAGGACTAAGGATGACATGATAGCTGTCTTGCAGTACTTGAGGGGTTGTCACACTGTATTCTTCAAAGCCACTGAGGGCAGAACAAAAAAGTAACAGGTGAAGCTCATTAAAGAGAGATCCAACATGGAACTAAGGAAAAATTTCCTGACAGTGAGAACACTTAATCAGAGGAACGGCTTGTCTTCTGAAGTTGTGGGTGCTCATTTGCTGGAGGTTTTCAAGAAGAGATTGGACCACTGAAATGGCACAAGGTGGCATAAAGATGATTAGGGGACTGGAGGCTAAAACATATAAGGAACAGTTGCTGGAATTGGGTATGTGTTGTTTAACGAAGAGAAGGACGAGGGGGACATGATAGCAGTGTTCCAATATCTCAGGGACTGCCACAAAGAAGAGGGAGTCAAACTATTCTCCAAAGCGCCTGAAGGCAGGACAAGAAGCAACGGATGGAAATTAATTAAGGAGAGAAGCAACCTAGAACTAAGGAGAAACTTCCTGACAGTTAGAACAATTAATCAGTGGAACAACCTGCCTCCAGAAGCGGTGAATGCTCCAACACTGGAAGTTTTTAAGAAGAGACTGGACAGCCATTTGTCCGAAATGGTATAGGGTTTCCTGCTTGAGCAGGAGGTTGGACTAGATGATCTCCAAGGTCCCTTCCAACTTATTATTATTATGGATCATCGCACAGTCAGCCAGATGTTCAGACTGGATTTGGCATTTTGTATACCTATCGAGTCCTTACCCAGGACCTGGGATAGGCAGATGTGGATGTTTGATGGTATTACAGATATCGTCGCAGGATGGAAGCAGTTCCTAGTAAGGTCGCCTTTTGCAATTGACTAATAGCGAATTTGTCAATGCCAATGGTGTTCAAGTGGTGCTCCAGTTGTTTTGGGATTGCACCCAAGGAGGCTATTACTATTGGTACTACCCTTGCTTGCTTTTGCCACAGTCTTTCTATTTCTATTTGTAGGTCTTTGTATTTTGTTATTTTCTCCAGTTCTTTCTCTTCTATTCTGCTATCTCCAGGCACTGCCACGTCCACTATCCAGACTTTTGTGTCTTTCTTATCGACAATTGTTAAGTCTGGGGTGTTATGTTGCAGGTGCTTGTCTGTTTGAATTCTGAAGTCCCAGAGCAGTTTAATTTTATCATTTTCTATGACTTTCTCTATTTTATGATCCACCAGTTTTTGCTTACAGGCAAATGATATTTTTTGCAGATCTTCCAATGCACCATTGCTGCTACTTTGTCATGCCGCTTCTTGTAGTCAGTCTGTGCAATCTTCTTGCTATTATTATTATTATTATTATTATTATTATTATTATTATGCTCTCCTGCTTGAGCAGGGAGTTGGACTAGAAGGCCCCCGAGGTCCCTTCCAACCCCATGACTCTATGGTTTTATATTTTCTGCCCATCCACACCCAAAAGGCTCCCTTCTAGGCAACAGATCAACAAGACAGAGATAACACAGTATGACTTTATTTGAACAGCACAAATGAACCAGAACACCAGAGAATTGTTTTTAATTAAAAAAGAGAGCAAAAAAACCAGACATAAGTCAAATATACAACACTAAGTAGACCGCATGGGTGTCAAACTCACCGCATCACATGACGCGTCGCGACGTATCATGACTTTTTTCACATTGCCAGAGCTGGGGTGGGCACAGCCTCTGCAAGATGCAATTGGCCTGCGGGCCGACAGTTTGACATCCCTGAAGTAGAGGAAACGTGGCCAGAGCATCTCCCTGACTACATACCAGTCCATCTGACACCGTGCAACACATGTCTGCATAGCAGCCTGTCCTGCTTATTTCTCCAGCCTCACATCACGTCCATCACACTACCCAGGAAACAGATCCTAAAACCTGTGAAAATATTGTAGGAAACCATAGCATCACATATTTCTCCAAAACCAATCTTAGAACTACAGGATCAGTAGTGCAGTAGTGCGGTCAACCAGTAGATGGCAGTATAAATATTCTTTGATGCAGTATTGTGGTCACCTGGATTCTACAACCCAGGTATGGTGGTTGAGGTCAAGTGGGAATGGTTTTTTTTGCTATTATCTTGAAATTACAACAGTATTTCTCAACTTCAGCAAAATGAAGATGTATGGGATTTCCCAGTCAGCATACTGAGACTGGAAACACTAATTCAGAGGTAAATTCAAGTTTAACAGTTTTGACCCAAAATTATCTGGAAAGTTGGGTTAAAATGGCACCACCTAATTTGAAAAAAAATAAAAAAATTAAACTAGACCTGACAAAGGAACAGCTGAAGTACAGGTAATCCTCGACTTACAACAGTTCACTTAATGACTGTTCAAAGTTACAACAGCACTGAAAAAATTTACTTATGTCCATTTTTCATAGTTACGACCTTTGCAGCATCCCCAGAATCCTCTGATCAAAATTCAGATGTTTGGCAATTGGTTCATACTTACGACTGTTGCTATGTCCCAGGGTCATGTGATCACCTTTTACAACCTTCTGAAAAGCAAAGTCAATGGGGAGGCCAGATTCACTTAACAACCGCATTATTAACTTACCAACTGCAGTGATTCACTTAACAACTGTGGCAAGAAATGAGGCAAAACAAATGTCTCACTTAACAACAGAAATTCTGAACTCAGTTGTGGTTGTAAGTTGAGAACTACCTTACTAAACTATCTGAAGTCTAAACTAAAAATCTTTTGGAAGGAATTTTGAAATATCAATTTTCATTGGAAAACAATTGAGGGTTTCAAAATAAGAGAGTGCTCAGTCTGACAGTAAAGGAATACAGGTAGTCCTTGACTTACAGCAGTTAACTTAGTGTCCATTCAGTTACAACGGCACTGAAAAAAGTGACATGATTGTTTTTCACACGACCATTGCAGCATCCCCAGGGTCACGTGATAAAAATTCAGACGCTTGACAACTGACTCATATTTATGACGGTTGCAGTGTCCTGGGGTCATGTGATCACCTTTTTGTGACCTTGAAAAGCAAAATCAATGGGGAAGTCAGATTCACTTAACCATATTACTAACTTAACAACTGCAGTGATTCACTTAACAATTGTGGCAAGAAAGGTCATAAAATGGGGCAAATTTCACTGAACAAATGTTTCACTTAGCAACAGACATTTTGGTCTCAACTGCGATCATAAGTCAAGGATTACCTGTATGCCATATTTTATCCTTTGCTGCCCCAGTTCCCACTTTTTATGCTTGTAAAAAAAAGTGAAGATGTCTTAAAGCAGTGCTTGAATTTTGAGAGGAACAGGGGGGAGACTCAATTGTAAACAACAATTCCTCCTAATTTCAGCTTACTTCAAAAACAGTACCTAAGGGACTGTAAGAGAAGCACACCTCCCCTCACTTTTTTGTACTTTCACATTATCATAAAGGGAGAGTCAAATCCTTGTTTCCCAGGAACTATGGAATTTAGCTGACATTTTCCCCAGCCTCTTCTATCATTCACTTGGACAAAACCTCTGTTCTCTTTGAAATGCCACGTAGAAGAAAAAGACATCCTCACAGCTGCCCAGTTTAACATCCCTTCCCACACCAGTTGGACTCTTGATACAAACTTTAGAATGGATAGGAAGGCCCTAGTTTTCCAGCAGGCTGTTTGTGCATTGAGAGATACATGAAAAGGGAGGGCTTATCTCCAGGCTTAACAGGCGATAGATTTCAATACCAGTTCTACAAATGCATTAATAGGCATGCAATGTCAGTCTACCGGATAAAACATACCTTTGGGGCATAGACAACAAAGGCAGTGTTTATGCAGTATGTGTAAGTTTACTCAGTGCCTGTTGGAGTCTCCCTGCCATTTAGGCCTGGCACAAGAAAAAGGCTCCTGCCAGAACATAATAGCCAGGCTAAATGCAACCATTATGCTGCATGTGGTGGAGAAGTGATATTCAGCCATTGTATCCATGCTAGGTATGCACTGCCTATATAGGCAATGGTAACAGTGATGCTTGGGAACAAAGTAGAAGGGAAAGGATCTTCCTGGCAGGTTGAGGGGGCAGGAACATACAGGCATGGTATTCTCTAGTTTCTATAAAATATCATACCAGGTCCTCGTTGGCAAGTAAAAGTAGAAGAGGTCTATGACAAATCTTGGCAAGCTGCTTCCAGCACACCTGCTAATTTTTAGCAGACTTGGGAGAAATTCTCCACTCATGTTTTTCCTATGGAACTGGTTGTCATTGTGTTGACTGATGTGGAAATATTGGACCGATAAAACCCAGGAAGATTTAAGCAGGCTAGGATTACCATTGCATGCATGGAAGCTAGCAGAGCCTGGATGACGCTTTCCTAAATAGATCTTCAGGCCAAATTAAGTCCCCCTTCCCCAAAGACCAGTCTTTACTGTGTGGGGAGGAGCTGCAGACGATGCTTCCGGCGGATGTGCCTCTGGAGGGTATTGCGTTCCCCAAAGCGCATGTGGCATGCTTCACACTGGTAGGGCCGCTCACCAGTATGCACCCGCTGGTGATGGGAGAGCTCTCCAGAGTCACGGAAACGGCGCTGGCAGATGGGGCACTGATGAGGCTTCCGGCCTGAATGGGTGTACTTATGGCGCTCCAAGTGGGACGTGCGCTTGAAAGCTTTGCCACATGCCCGGCAGACGTGGGGCTTGCTTTCTGAGTGAGTAATGCTGTGGCGTTGCAGGTAAGACAGGTACTCGAATGTTCGTAAGCACACAGGGCAGCTGTATACTTTGCGCAAGGCCCCCCCACTCCCACCCCCTTCAGGGCCCCCTGGTGTCCCCACTCCCTCTTCTACCAGTACAGTGTATGGCAGCCCCTGACTGTCAATCAACAGGTAATGCCCTAGTCGAGAGGTTTCTCCTTGGTCAAGGCTTGTTGTGGTCACACCCGGAGCGTGTACCCGCCTGTCTGTTCCCGGTAAGCCATTCAAACTCTGAACAAGGGTGCCGCTAGGAGAAGGTGCTGGTGGCCGAGAGAGTTTAGGAGGTGAAGGAGGAACATCCTCTCCCTCAACCCCCATCTCCAGCTTGATGTGCTGTCCCACATTGCTTTTGGGTTCTTGCAGGCAATCCAATGTTTCTGATAATTTATGAGGATCCCTTATAGATCTGGAATGCAGCTCCATAAGTTTTGTATGAATGTATGAGTGATTTCCTTGGGGCGCAGTACCAAGTCTGTAAAAAAAAAAAAAGCAAGAATTAACCTATGCAATGTAATGATATGCTTTTTAAAAATAAAAAACAGCCATATAGAAAGAGACACAAACGTTTTAGGGTAAATCTGTTAAATTTTAGCCATTAGCCAAGTTAAAATAGTTGTGGCTGACATTCAAATATTCAAAAATAAGCAGTTTAAGTGAATAAAATTAGCATCTTAATACAAGTATCTTTTGGAATGTATGAAAAAATGCTACATTATGATTGGATAGACTCTCAGACTGGATTCCTATCTCACACAAAATAAACCATGATATTATTTGTTTGGACTTGGCTTACAGTGGTGATCTCGGCCAGCTGTATTTTATTCATCAAACCAATCAAGTTCTGGTTCAGAGCAGATGTGAGTATTTTCTTTCCTTGCTATAAATGGTGGCATGACAAGTGGTGTCATCACCAGAGGAGAGATAGCTTAAAATATTCTGCTCATTTGTTCTCCTCTTTAGGGGCAGAGCGGAATGAAATACGGAATAGATACATTTTGCCCCACAGAGGCTTTCAGAACTATTTTTATTTAGCATTTTTTAAATTTAAATCCAGACCGTTTAAAACTACCCACTCTGCTAATGAGGTTTAGCAGGGCAATTTGGATAGTGCTTTATGCCCTGTCAATTAAACTTTTCAGCCATTAATCCAGTGACATCCTAACATTGTGCATGCCTAGTTAGAAGTAGAGATTACTCCAGCTAAGTATCTTTATGATTACAATCTAAGGAACACTTGATCTGGCAATAAAGCCAATTTATATTTTGGATGCTACACTTCAAAATCTGATTTTCCCAACTTAAATAAATTAACTTATGTTTGAATGAAAAAGCACAGGATTAGGCTGCAAAACTGCAATTGATTATTTCCTCGGTATCTAAAGTTTGTAGTCCCAACTCCCAACTGATAGGGCTACAAAACTGCAACTCTAAGCATATTTAATTGCCACGCTAGCTCTGGAAACATGTATTCTGTATAGTGGCAAACTGTTTTAGCTGGTAGCAAAGTAACCAGCCTTGCCTTGTTTCACTTCCCTTGGCAATGTGATTCAGCAGGATTCTGGGAAATCTGTGTAGGCATTATCCCCCTAACACCCAAGCAAAATATTTACGAACACTACAAATGTCAGGACTCCTGATCAAACCCATAAATAATACTTATGTATTTACTGTCTTTAATAAACATTATCTTAATCCTTATCATCTCTGTCCATGATAGCCAGATTTTGCCCTTTAAAGTCTGGCCCATATAACACATGTGTAAAATTCATGTCATCAATAACAGAAGAGATGCAAAACAAGAGCTCTGAATAAAGCTTGACTAGGCTAGAACAGGCTAATGTGATGAGAAGTAACCAATTCCAACAGCCTTCTTCAACTCGGCACCTTCCAGATGTGTTAACATATAAGAGTGTAAAAAGACCAATGATGGATCAAGATAAAGCCTCAGTAAGTCCAATGTTCTAATTTCAAAGTGGCCAACCCAATCATTATCTTGGCTCAGGGATGATAGGCTTTATAAACTAGCACATCTGCAAGGTTCAGATAGGGGAAATCTGGTCTTCAGGACAAGGAAAGAGATATAATTTTTTTAATTAATCAGACCACCACTTCTTCTACTCCTATTACTATGAGGCTGTTTGGTATAGCGGTTAAGGCATCAGGCTAGAAACTGAAAGATTATGAATTTGAATCCTGCTTTAGGCACAAAGCTAGCTGGGTAACCTTCTACCAGTCATTTCCTCTCAGCCCTAGGAAGCAGGCAATAGCAAGACATTTTTGCCAAGAAAAATGCAGGAATTTGTCTCTCTAAGCAGTTGCCAGGAGTCAGCATCGACTCAAAGGATCAAAACAGAACAAAACTCTCTATTACTAAGAAAAGGATGAGAAAGACTAAGAAATGCAGAAAAAAAGTTATCCTGGTTTTTAAGGATTATTGACTGGCTAACACATCAACATTTCACATGAATTCCAAAAAATAACTTACTGAAAAGTGGTGCATGTAGCAATCTTTAAACAATCTTTGAGGAAATAGGGAGGAGTTCCTGATAAGGATGCCTGGCTTTTTGTATGGCAGCAGCAATTGGAAAGTCAGAGTGCTCAGATGTCTCCTGGGATTTTTTTTCTTAAATTTGTGACTTTGTATTTTGTTCTCAGTTTGAAGCTTTTCATTTCCAGCTTAATCAACCAGATGCTTTGGGAAGTTTGCAGAGGAAATCACAAAAGCAGCAGTGTTCCTTTTCTGTTCAGAATTAAACTGCTTCTGAACATGGAAGCTCAGTATTTTGTTTATAATGCTTAAAGGAGAAACATCCAGTGGCATTTAAGAATTGAAGAAGTGAAGAGCTATACGACAAACTTGCAGGATAATTGGATCTTAGATCCCCCCATTTTCAGGACAAGCCAATCTGCACCCCCATGATTCTCCTGCCTGAGTACTACGTGCCAATTTCTACCCCTCCAATTAGCATTTGCAACAATTTTTCTAGCCTTATCATATGCAGCCTGAGGACTGGCTTATTAAATTCCACAGAAAGATTTTGGCAGAAGTCCATGTACTTCCTCCTTCCTCTCCCAAATAACAATAGTACCCATATGTAGAAGAAATTAAACCAGGCTTTAAACTTACCCTGCTTGGGTGATGTTCCAATATCTCTGGTCTCAACTCTCATTTCTGCACCTAACTTTCACAGCAAGGTGCAATTGGTGCCACCATGCATCTTGTGCTATCATCCTGTAGAAGGATGCCACTGTAATGTCCAGGAGAAGACAAGAGGGCTCTTTGGGCCACCTATCAACTGGCAGTGGCAGGCAGGGATCCAAGCAAAACCATGAGAAATATAAATCCAAGATCTCCATAAGGATGTGCCTGGCAGAACATACCCCTGCCTGAAAGGCTCAGAAAGAAAAAGACAGCAAAGGCATCTTCAACTGGGCAGGCAATAGTCCTGAAGTAACAATCCAGACAGCTGCAAAGTTGTCCAAAGCAGAGTTATAAGTGAAGATGATTCTTAAGAAAAAAATCCAAAATTGGGAGAACCTACCCAGCAGGCACAGCCGGTGGCAAGCAATGCCAAAACATCCTGGCAGATGAATCCAAGCTGATTATTCACCCAAAGACTTGGTAGAGTTAGCATTGGGCTCCTAATGTCAGTTTAAAATCAGCCACCTCCATCTGCAAGCGGCCACGACCCCCTTTAGCGCTACCGATGTGGTTTTTGTGATGATGAAGAGTCCGAATCCTTCTATTTATGGCAACTGTCATCTACCTTTCCCCCACTCCCCAAAATCAATAATGAGGGTATATACAGAACAGGGTATCTCCTCCCCTTAAAGTCTCATAGAAGAGAGGGGCCAGTCCTAAAGAAAAAAAAGGAACAACTCAAGAGCAAGTCGGAAGAAAGAGAAGACCCCCGAGGAGAAGGAAAGGAAGATCTGCCTAAAGGGTGGAGGAGCTACCTAGATCAGAGATGGGTGGGCAAGGCTGGAGGGTGGCGGAGGAGGAGAAAAAGGAGGAGTGAGTGTCACAGCAAAAAACGTCCTGACGGAAACGCAGCAGTTTCTCCCACCGGCTCAGGCTAAAGCAGTTCCCGGAGTAAATATTCCTTCTGTAGGATTGGAAAAAAAAAAAAACCAGGCAGGGATCCTCAATTTCTCCCCGTGAAGCAAGCGATCCCGAATCCCAATCATCCCTATTTCCCGTTCGCCTCCCGCGCAAATCCTTTTCTCCGTTTACTTCACCTTCTTGGGAGGGGGAGGAGGAGGGAGAAAAAACAGGCTTTTCATTTATGCGCAATCTTTTGTAAGCGTCCGCGAATCCTAACAGAGGAAGCGAGATCGTTCTGCTATCCCGCCTGTGGCTCCTTCCAGCGCAGGGAGAGTCACCCATTCTAGCAGAAGATTTGGGTTCCACCACCACCCCCGGAGTGATTGTTTTTTTTTTTTTTTTTTTTTTGCATCCAGTCAGGACATCTCTGCTGAGGATGAATTCTTGCGATCCGCTATCTACCTTCTATTCGCAAGACGCTTCTTTTCTAGGAACAAATGCAGTTATCTCCTTAGTAATTTACTCTCTCCTTCATGATTTTGCTTCTCCTCAGATCCCTCCAATCCCTCCTAATCTTTGCGCTGTCCAAAAAAGGCAATTGCAGTCTTGAGTTCCATTTCCAGGGGGTCCATTTTAAACTTCCCCTCACTACCAGGTATCTTTTGCCTAAAATATAGGCAAAGATCTCCAGGTCTATCTTATCAAAATGAAAGTATTGTACATGTATGTATGGAATTTAAGAAGGATTAATAAGTATAAATGTAGCATTTCCCAGTAGGGAACAGAATTACAGAATAAAAATTGCATGGGACCTTGGAGGTCTTCTAGTCCAACCCCCCTGCTCAATCAGGAGATCCTATACCAGGCATGTCAAACACAAGGCCTGGAGGCCAGATGCGGCCCGCAAAGTGGTTTCATGTGGCCCGCGAAGCCTTCCTGGAAACAATGAGGGAATGGCCCCACTGCCATGGCCCTGGCCCAGGCCAGCCGGGAGGGAGCCAATGTACAATTTTGTGGTGGCCATCTATGCTGAAATGCATTCAGACTTAGCTCCACAAGACTGTCTGGAAATAGCAAGGAACCAGCCCCTGTCGCATCAGCCCCGCCCCCTGGGTGCATGCTGGGGAGGTGTCACCCTTTGTGAGGAATGAAGAAATGCACCATCACCTGGAAGTGGCCCGCAAATGGCCCTGGCCTACTTCACATATCCGGCTTGATGGGCTCTGGGAGAGGGGTTTCGGCAGGCACTGGGGCGCTCTCCTCACAGCACCGAGAGGCTGAGCCGGGTGGCACGAAACTGATGAGAAGTGCAATGCTGCCTAGCGCCCAGCCTGCCCAGTTTCAGCAAGCAGCAAGGTGCAAGGCTGGCGAGCTTCACACCGCCTGGCTCAACCTCTCAGCACTGTGAGGAGAGTGCCCTGCTTCCTGCTGAGACCAGGCAGGCTGGGGGCTGGGCGGTGTCATGCTTCTTTTTGGATTTGCACCACCTGGCTCAGCCTCTCGGCACTGTGAGGAGAGCGCTTCGCTGCCTGCTGAAACCGGGCAGGCTGGGGCTGGGCGGCATTGCGCAGGTAACATTGACTCTCAGCTGCTCATGGCATCCCCTCCCCTAGAGCCCATCAAGCCAGATATGTGAAGTAGGTGAGGGCCATGTGTTGGCCACTTCCAGGCAGTAGTGCATTTCTTCATTCCTCAAGAAGGGTGACACCTCTCCGGCTGCGTTTCTTGCCTGTTTTTCTCCCTCCCTCATCTCAAATATTTTCCCACCACTCTGTACTTAGGAAGGAAAGAAGAAAAGGAGAGGGAGGGTCTGAGGGAAGTCCTGCCTTAGTCCTGCCCTGCTGCCCTTTCACCATCCCCTTGCCCCCCCCTCCTGGCCTATCCTGGGGGTCTCCCATCCTATTGCTAAGGAAGCTTTGGATACAAAGCCGGATCTCCTCCCATGGACATGGAATGGGCCTCCCTCTGACTTTGCCCTTGTACCCATCATGAGCAACCTGGCCAAGGAGAGCAAGCACAGCAGCAGCAGCCGTGAGGAGGAGGTAAGTGCAGCTGGGCACCCCCTTAGGAAAGTGGGTCTGGGCTTGGTGCTGTGGGTGCTCAAGGACCAGGCTGGGCATTTGACCTCTGCTGCCCAGGGCTCCGGGCAGCCCGCACCACCATCCAGCCCCCCCCCCCGGCATGGCCTGAGAGTAACAGTGAGGCTCCTCCAGTGGACCATGCCTTGGCACTTGCCCTGGTGCCACCCCCTTCTGCCAGAGACCTTCAAATCGGTCCCTCTCCTGCCCAGGCCCCCACAGGCACCCTTGATGTGAACGATGTAGAGCTGGCCACGCCCACCCAGTAGGCCACACCCACTCCATCCATGCCCACCCAGTAGACTGCACCCACTCCATCCACACTCACCCAGTAGGCCGCACCCACCCTGGACACCCCCTCTGAGGGCAACCACAATGCTGATGCAGCCCTCAATGAAATTGAGTTTGACACCCCTGCCCTATACTATTCTGGACAAATGGCTATCCAACCTCGTCTTTAAAACCTCTGGTGATAGAGCATTTCTGGTGGCAAACTGTTCCACTGATTAATTGTTCTTACTATTAGGACCTTTCTCCTTAATTCTAGGTTGGATCTCTTTTTGTTAAGTTTCCATCTTTTTATCTTTCTCTCAGGTGCATTGGAGAATAAGGTGACCCCCTCCTCTCTGTGATAGCCTTTCAAATATTGGAAGACTGCTATCACCTCACCCCTGGTCTTTCTCTTCATTAAACTAGACATTTCCAGTTCTTACAACCATTCATTGTATGGTTTATACTCCAGTCTCACACTCCAGTCTCACAATAGTCAGGTTTAGTGGCTAAGGCAGTGTTTCTCAACCTTAGCAACTTTTAAGACATGTGGACTTCAGCTCCCAGATTTCCCCGGCCAGCATTTTAGAGTTGAGAGACATTAATTGTGAGTTCTAACTTGCCTTAGGCATGAAGCCAGCTGGGGGATTTGGGGACCATTACTTCTTCTCAGCCCTAGGTACCATTTCCAAAAATGTTGCCAAGAAAACTATATACTGTAACTATACATTTAACTGCCCGGAGCTGACTGACTGACTGACTTGTTAGCTTCCTACAGAGAAGAGAAACACATACTTTTAAATGGATACAAACAGTTTTACCTCCTTCCCCATTCAGATTCAGTCATCTATGATAAATTTCCTTTACTTATTTGCTTTAATGCAGTGGTTCTCAACCTTTCTAATGCTGTGACCCCATAATACAGTTCCCCATGTTGTGGTGACCCCCAAGTGGGTGTGGCCACCAATAAGAGGGAGTAGGACAGCTAGGGAAAAGGGAAAAAATGGCGGACAACGTGGTTTGGCGACCCCCGTGAAATGGTCGTTTGACCCCAAATGGGGTCCCGACCCCGAGGTTGAGAACCACTGCTTTAATGGCTTTTGCTTCCACCCAAACTATTTCCAAGCTAAATGGTTTGTTCCACCCTGATTCAGTGGCTTTTTGGGGTGATCTGATGCCTCAGCCTACGTAACATTCTTCTACCAATGAAGTGATTTCAGAATATGGTGGCTATGACCTTGCATCATGTTAACCATAAGGTAATTTATTTATCTGTGGCTTAGCATGTTATGTAAACACTGTGGGAAACTAGCAATTGTGGCTTTGTCACTAAACCATGGTGAAATAAAATATATTGAACATATCTTGACACAGTGCAAACAGAACATGGGGGAAGGGGAGAGGATTTCAGCTTCTTTGGGAACCTCTATTACCCAACTTATCTTTGGAATCAAAGCAGGCTAGGGCTTGATAACTGTTTGGAGCAAAAATGATGATGATGATGTTATCCATTCAGTTTAGTCCAATTCTTGGTGACTCTATGGGCCAGATCTCCCCACGTTTTCCAATCATGCACTACTTCTTTGAGTTGTTCTATGCTCTGGCTAGTGTCATTTTGATGGTGTCCAGCCACCATGTTCTTTGCTGGCCTGATTTCCTTTTACTGTTAACTCCTCCAAACATAATTGCAAAATCCATTAGGAAGCACTAAACTGTATTATACTTGTGTGCAATATCGTGATGCAAGAACAGGTAGTCCTCAACTTACAATCCTAATTAGGATCAGAACTTCTATCACTAAGCAAAGCTGTAATTGAGTTATACCTGATTTTATGACCTGTTTTGCTGTGGTCATTAAGCAAATCACCATGGTTGTTAAGTGAATCTGGCCCCCAGTGATTTTGCTTGTTGGGAGCTGGCTGGGATGGTCACAAATGGCAGCCCTATGTCCCCTAGGATGCTGCAATGATTGTAAATACATGCTGTTGCCAAGCACCCAAATTTTGATCATGTGACCATGAAAACGCTGTAATGGTCATAAATGTGAGAACTGGTCATAAGTCACTTTTTAGTGCTGTTGTAATGTTGATCAGTCACTAAATGAATGGTCAAAAGTTGAGGACCAGCTGTATGAAAGGATAGAGCAGGGATGTCAAACTCACAACATCATGTGACGTGTTGTGATGTGTTGCGACTTTTTCCCCATTGCTGGCAATGGGGTGGGCGCGGTTTTGGCATGACACATCCAGCCCGTGGGCCGGCAGTTTGACACCCCTGGGATAGAGTTTACACTGTGATATAAAATTGCAGAGTTAATCCTTCATTACTGCAGTTAGGATTAGAATTCCTATGTACTTTGTGCCCGGAAAACTGCCTGAATGTAGTCATGTAGAGGACAAGCTCATCTTAAATGTGTCTTTTCCCTTTTAACCAGCAATATCTCGATCTGAATCTCAAATAGTATTTATTTAAAACTACAATGCCTCTCTTTATTTTTGCTTTTTTCCTCCTAATAGGGAATGTACAGAGATCAGAACCAAGTTTGAAATAGACTTTATTTTCCCCAAACTATACAAATCAGTGACCAGAGGTGTCTATAGAAAACTTCATTGATGCTACTTATAAGTATAGTACTTCCCTATGAACCAGTTTGGCCTATTTTATTTTTATTTTAAGAAATGATTAGGTCAGGGGTAGGCAACCTTGGCTCTTTTATGACTCATGGCCTTCAATTCCCAGAATTCCTGAGCCAGCATGGCTCAGCTTGGAAACCTCTCTCTTTCCCCTCAGCATGGCTGGTTCAGGAATTCTGGGAGTTGAAGTCCACAAGTCATAAAAGAGCCAAAATTGCCTACCCCTGGGTTAGGTGATTGCCTCACATTCCACATATAACAGTTCATCGTGTAAGGAGTTATAAACAGATTTGGAGAAAAGCATCTATGGCAGTCACTTGTTTCTACTCATCTCTAATCAATGAAAGAATGAGAGATGATTGGGGTGCAACCTTTTATTTTCATAGAGGTCATAACCTCAAGTCACTAGGATAATAATCAGGTACCCCTGGTTTATTTTTAATTTTAATTGCGGCTTTTGGTTGGTAATAAAATAATGTCCAATTCTATTTTGGCATTCTTTTAAATTCCTTCACATTTTCCCACACCCCTTTCTTTCCCCAGTTGTGACAGGGTTCCACTTGGATTTTATTTGCCTCATTCTGCACTGAGGTAAGTCACCTGAGAGTCTCTACTGTAAATGGAAAATAGTTCCAATTAATATATACTTGACCTTATTAGTCAGCTTCTGGAACCTCCAGACTTGTCATAGATGAAGTCAGGATGTTGTATCCTAAACAGTTTCCTCTTTGCAGGACAGAGAATAATTACAGTATATAGGTAAATTCTGTCTTATGCATGTGTTTTCTAAGTTAACATGAAAATATGACTAACGCTTTCAAATATTGGTATT